AGCGTTATTTTCACTAAACTAGGGTTATTCAAACACATGAGCTATCAGTAATTCAGTGTGACCAATGACATTAAACAACATGATAGGCAACTCTGACGTCACTCCATAAGGCTACAGGCGAAAGATTGTATTTCATGATACGCTCCAATGCACATATTTCTCGTCGCCTTTCGTGACCGTTTTCCGCTCGCTTTTGCTACTCGGCGTTTTCTTTACGTGTAGTACCTTCCTATTTTCGCCTGTAACGAAAGAAAACAATCCTTATATCTAAGAAGATTTGCTCACTTGGAAAGCTGGAATCACAGACAAGCTGTGAAGAGTAATTCTGGACATCATAGACGTTTTTTTTATCAGAGAAGATTACAAACGCGATAGCGTAAAGATTCGTGTGGAACATTTTGCAGATAATGACAAAGTTTAAAGTTAGTAATTTTAATGTTTGCGCTTAAACATTGAAATTTCATTTAAAGGGGGTGTCATACAAAACAGTTTTTACTTCTTTTTACGGTGCTGTGGAACAATTCCATAACACAAAGTTTGCACCTATCGAACTTGCTTTAGTAGGTGAATTTATTAGACATATTACATATTCAGTTAATCGTAGGTAACATTTCTGGTACATAATGCCCCGTAGATAGGTTTGTGTCTAAATTTAGCTCATAGCTCACTAATTAATATTATCTTCGATGCAGGAGGTTGCAGGGCTGAATTCAACTTTCAGCCTTACCGATCACCTGACGATGCTCATTTAGTTTGGCTCGAGCAAGTCCTCTTGAAAGACTTGTGTGAATGGGAACTACCTATATGTTTTGCCTTCCTCCGATTTTAGAAGACAAATTTATTCTGAGGGATTTCGCATATAATTCTCATTGATTGTTGGCTGTTTATAATTTCTATTAATTGTGAATTCTGATCATAACAAAGAGTTAAAAAATATTTTACGTAATTTACTAGCACCTTTTTCTTGTCAGTACTCCAAGCTGAGGTAATAAACAAGACAATACATTTATGTCATCTGGAAGCAAAATATGCACACTAATTAAAAGTTTGACACATTGAGATAATACACCATGACAGGAAATAAAAGTTAAAGATATATATGACCATCACATGGTAATTAAAATTAAAAAAAAATAATAGGGGCTGTGGAGTAGGGAAAGTTCAAGACAAAAAAAAAAAAAAAAGTTCATAGCTCATGAACTCTCAATTTTGCCCCCATTGCTTTGTGAAAGCCAATATATTCCGAGTGGCTGAATTGGTTTACCTTTATGATAGCAACGATTGTGTATTCAATATAGCGAGTTTTTTTTTCAATTTATTTGAAGTGATATTATTTTCCAAAGCAATGCTTTAATCATCTAGATCAGTGGTGTCAAACTCATGGGTTTTCGAGAGCCGCATTGCATTTTGAAAATTGTAAAAAGGACCGCAAACAGTTTTTTATATTGTATACTTGAAAGATAATTTCAGTTTGTGACATATATTGTGATGCAACTAAACAGTTGGATTAAGTTTTATTATTTTCTTCAATTTCAAATGCAATTACATATTAATATTTGCATTCCACTATTATTGCAAGTTACTGTATTTTTTACAAAAAATCATAAAATTCTATGTACAACCATCAAAATTATTTTCAAACAAGCTTTAGATAAGGAAAGAATATTACATACACTTAATCTAAATATATGGACCTAAAATTGACAAAAATACTACAGTATAAACTCATTGTTTTTTTTAATTACATTTGTCCTGACGTTTGGCATCTTTTATGTGTCACCAGCATACTAAGGCCAGGCTGAAATGATTTTATAGTACCAACTCTAACTAACGAGGCCACATGATCATGGGTTAATCTGGATCTTTGTGAATGTCTTATTAATTCCAGTAATGCAAAAAAGTTACTTTTATCATTTCATGTATAGATCAGTAAAAGAACAAATTACAGATTTTTTCTACAAGACATTTCGCACCACATTGCGTGGCATAGGATTGCTTGAATTATTATTGATATTGATTTTAGTAACTAAGTCGATGTATAATTATATTAATATACAAACACCTGGAAATTTTCTGTTCGAAGTTGGTTTTCGAATTTGCCATATTGACTGCTGAGCCTATTGTGTTTTTTCATTGTATTAATGGAAATATGACAAATTAAACAATGTGCTTCAGAATTTTGTGAAAAGCAGTTTGTTACAACTCTCATTTTCTTCGAAAATGCCACCTTCTTCATGTACTTTGCGTTTAATTTAATCACTCAAGTGTTTTATTCAAGTATTCTTTTGCAAGCTTGATGTGTATTCTTAATTGGGTCAGAATGTGGAAAAAAAAATTAATATTCCAAAACTACTTTCAGTAAATTGTTTTCTGTGTGAATAATCAATTTCACTTTAAAAGGTTTGAAAAATCTGTTACATTTAGATAAAAAAAAACTTCCAAAATACTATTATAATTATTGTTAAGCGTTCGAGGGCCGCACTGGAAGTTCTCTGGGGCCGCGAGATGGTCTAGATTGAAGTTGTCCAAAAAATATATGATAGTATTTTATCATGAATGATGATTATACCCCTTCCGGAATTTCTTCTATAGTACTACCAAAAGTTGATGAACCAAATATAACACAGGTGCAGTGAGTTACCCGTAATCCTCATTTTCCAAAGCTGTTTTAAGTATGTCTGGCGTGTTTTGTGCCTTTTTACAAATAAGACCGAGTATGCAATTTTACGCTTTGGAATTTTTAGTTATTTTTCTCAAGCCCTGCAGGATGTGGATGCCATACACAACTCTACCGGAGGGTCAAATGTCTTTGCATGCCTTCATAGGTTGTTTATCTACTGCAGAGTACTCCTGCTATAGTTGTCCTGTGAATAAATAATAGGAAATTGAGATTAGACGAATAGTTGAAAGTTTTGCTGTCGGCTTAATTTCTTGATTGATATACTTACTATTTCTGCTATTGCCTCTTGTGCTGCAGCAGTCTCACAATGCTTAGACAGGTTTGTCCACAACTTTCACATCTGAAGAAAGAGAGGAGATTTATTAATTTTCGTTAAGAATAAATAAAGCATTCTATATGATTTAGAATGGAAAAGCTAATAAATCCAATATCTCATGTTTTATGTAAAAAATATTTCACTGAATTTGGTATATAAATCAACTAATAAAAGGGTTTAATCAGAAAATTACAAGCATTCGTGGCTCCAAATACTTAAGAGATCAGACTATACAATATAGACCGGTATGAGTGAAATGTTAGGTGAACTTGTTAACACTTTGATTCAATACGCAAATAAAAGTGAATGCGCAATAGTATGTTACAATGAGCAGCAATCAACAATGAGTATATATCCTCACTGATTAAAAAAATCTAACTTGAGGTGCATGAACTATTTGAAACCATAAGGGGTAAGTAAATATGTAATTTCGGCAAATGAGCAACTACGTACCGTACTGAATTAATAACTTCGTAGTATTTGACAAAGGCTGGCTTTCCCACATGTACTTAACAGTGCGATGCCCGGGTGTGATATACAACAATAGTATTAACCTTACCTTTTTTCGATTTCCTTTTACCTTAACTTTCCAAAATATCATTAAAATCGCCAACAACTGTCAAAGCAGGCACGAACACCGTTCGTGCTACGCCTTGAAAGCAGCACACATCCGCTCGTTTTCGTCTCGTCAAGTATGTGCATTGGAGCGTGCTATCGAATACGATCTTCGGACAGAAATGCCGGAGTTGCGCATCATGTTGTTAAATGTCATTGGTGTGACGAAGTATATTGGATTGAAAGATCAGTTTTATCTGTCACAATCAAATTTAAAACAGATGACAACCAAAAATATTATTGAATCGATGACATATGGTAATTAGTATTCCAAACCCAAATTGATAACCCTAATGGAATCGATATCACCATACGCACATACGTATAAATAAGGTTTCAATTGGATATTTGGAAGGGGGGAGGTATTGAAAGGTCTTGTATTAGGAGTCAAGTCGTCTGGATCGGTGTCGTGTCGTCATGTCTTCATCGTTTGTCCTCCGTGTATAACTACAACATTAAACTCATCTACAACGTTGAACGTATTTTTTATTGGCTAAAAATTTTAGTCTAGTCTATCACAGCTATTTCTACACTAATTTTTTATTACTGCAATTAAATTAAAACTCCTAAGAAGACAGAGTGATCATTGAATTATCTAATTTATATTTAGGTTTCCGCAACATAACTGAAAACTAACGAATATAGTCCAAAAACGCGAAAACGAGGTAATGTTTACGACCACGCTTGAAAATCTGTCTGGGTGAGAAAAGTGTCTGAGCGGATGCAAAAAGGGAGCATTGTTACGTCACTTTTGCATCTTGCTAATTGGGGAAAGGTCCATACGAATGAGAAGTTCCCAGCATTCAGATACAAGTTTTTTTAAGAAAGGTGGTTTATATTTCAACCAAATGATTCATGTACAAATATACAACAACTATGATGACTGTTGTATGAGCTCGAGCATGGAGACGTTCTGCTGCAATTATCGGTATTCAAATCGTGAACATCTAAAAAAATGTGATATAGGTACTTTTACAACATAAGTATGTCATTATTAATTATCACAGATATAACCAATCTTACCTTATAACATTTGCAGTAAGTGAATAGTAACTTTCTTTCACTTTGGCATACCGATACCGGTAGGTACGGTACTTTTTGAGCTGCTACCAGTACGGTACCGCCGGCACCTGTATTCATAAGCAACCATACCCCCCATTTCAACACGTTATTTTACTCAAATGACATAATGCCTCAGAATACATTTCGTTTTTTGAAATAGTATGTTTTAGTTTCCACAACGAAACACCATGACATTCCAGTATTCATAGCAAACATTGCAAGTCAGAACTAGTCGCGTCGGCTTTCCGAGCAAGAAATCGCAGCCGTCACCTCTTTTTGCATCAAGTCGCAACCGGGTAAAGGTCATGAATGTCCCAAATACACCAGCCAGCTATAAGATACGGAAGTATTGGAGAGCTAGCAGCGTTCCTTTTCTTTGCACTCGTATGGAAGTGTGATAGGAGGGTAGTTTCAATTCCATTCGATAAAGTGATGCTGACGTTGAAATTACGTTTTAAACTTACCGTCTGACCGTTCTGTACAATGGCAGAATTCGAATTAAAATTACTAAAAGTGAATATAGAGGGATCAAATGCTAATGTTAGCAACCATGATTTAGTTCTCAAGACTGACATAGAAGAAGTAGGAAATGCTATCACGTCCGCTGCAGGTGAAATGGCTCCAGACAAATGTTTGGAGTCAGTTCTTTCCTCAGCTCAGCCAACCGCCTCTACATCTTTATACGTTGCTGCAGAGTCCATTATTGGGCATACGCCATGGGTCAAAATAAATGAAATCCAAGCAAATAATGTTCTGGCAGTTTCTGTTCCAAAACAATATGGAGAAAAATTCAACAAATTGATTACTGATGGAAAAATAACTCGAAAGGTGAAAAGCGATTTTGAAGATCTGGATACGACAGTGATGAGAATTCCTGGAGCGAACCCTAAGAAACAAAAAGAAATACTTGATCTCATTGATGAAGTCAGAATTGAATCTATTGAAATATGGTAGGTAAATAAGGTTAGTTTTAATAAAACCTTCTAGACAAATAAAGAAACATAAATTACAGAATTAAGGCTGTTTGATGTTGTGTTGGTATCACATTTAATATTTTAGTAGGGTAGTTAAAATGGAACATTTTACCAGTACTGCAGTAGGACATTGCTTTTGTATGTGTTACCCTGGGTTTTTCTGGGCCATTGATCTATTCCAAACGACATGAACATAGATTGAAGGATATACCTGATTTTAGAAATAATTCCAATGTATTTTCACAGGGACAAAGGGTCTGAAGAGTTGAATTATACAGCAGGTGAAATTATAGAAGGAAAGAACACCGATATAATAACTAACAAACACACCGTAGGTGAGACATCGATTTTAAAAGAACAATGTTATTTATAACTATCAGTAGAGGTACGCAAGACTAACTCCCAATCTTTTCTCAATGCCTTTGCGCTAGTGGATCCGTATGCTTATAATGCAAGGATGCTGTAGCAGGAATGAAAATACCATAATATGCAATTCAAGAGTTCTGCTGGAGTAATATTTATGTTGTTCTTTTGACACAATTACCAGTATATTCTTTTGTTTTCTATTTTGGCTCATGTACAACAACAATTCATTTTTTAGTTATTGGAGATGGTGAAGGATGCGTAGTTGGAACATTAATGAAAAAGGGCTCAGATGTGAAACGGACGATACAGGGTGGAACCACATTAGTTGTCGGTGGACTTAAAGGTAATTTTGAATGCTAAATGAAGAAAACAATGAGATCATTCAAATACAAACTAGTTGGATGAAGTCATAATTTGATAATGCAATGAAAAGTTTGGACAGAATTTGAACACCAAATTTAATTTCCTAAAATAGTCTCTCATTTCATAATCTAAATTCAATTCTGTTATTACCCCAGACTGTTACTTTCCATATAAAAAAAAGCAAACAGATAAAAATAAGCACAGTAAATCTAAACATCACAGTAAATGCCGTAATATCAGCAAAATTATAGATTAGTCTATTAATTCAGATACATAAGGTTCATGACGAAATCAAAAAAAAAAAAATACAAGCACTGTAAATATGAAACATCAATGTCAACAAAATGTAAAAATAATAGAAATAGACTTTATTGATGCTTGTACATATGTGATAAAAAAATATTCCCTATAATTGAAGAAAAACAAATACAGCTAGTTTAAAACAAATAGCGGACCTATGGGACTTACAAGAAGGGTCCAGTTCATGTCTAGTAAGTTAAAAGGCCATAAGTAGGAGATAGCTTGTCACAGACATGAATGGCCTGGAATAATCTGTCACTGGCATAATCTATGGGGAAAATCGCAGCACTGTGGAAGTTTTTATGTATTATGGTAAAATTATCCCTCATTTCTTTGAGAGAGTGTATGAAACTTCTGCAGTTGTGGAACAGATTTTTGTTAAGGGCATAATTTGAAATGAGGTATTAAATAAAGTTTTTTTTTATGATAGCTACGAATCATAATATGTTGACTTCGGCTTTATCTTTATCATTGTTCTTTGACAAGTTAAAGTGAATTTTGCTAATTTGAAACTAGAAGAGCAGATGATGATCGGCCTTGAAGCAGAAGTGAATCTGGTGTTTGATTGTTTTCCCACGAGTGAATATTTCCTCTATTTACAAGAAAAAGCTGTTTTCATCTGGAATTGATCATTTTCTCTGGCGGTCATGAGATTTTTTCAAATTTATCAGGGTGTTCGAGTAACTTCTTGCCTTTTCTCTTCATCCTGAGTAGTTTCGTGGGCCATGGATTCTAATGATTACCTGCATTGACTTTGAAATCAGCCACTGCTGTTTTGGCATATGAGGGACAGTGAATTTTTCTTAAGACAAGATTATGTCTTCCTACAATAAGTGGAAAACCTAATCTTGTTAGCTTGAAAAACTTCTTTCGATAAATTTTTATCTTGTTGTTGAAGGGAGCATGTCATTCAAGCTTTCCTCATTTTTATTATCCACGTTATTTCGAACATTATTTTTTGTTTTTTGTGACCAAGGAATCGGCATAGTGCATGTCAAAGGAGATAATTTAGCGGATCCCATCAGGAAATGGAACACTCAAATCAGTTATTAGTGCCTGTTCTATTAATTTTTCTATCACATAGCCCTGTGGTTAGCACAATTTGAATACCTACTCTTTGACCGCTCTCACTTCTGTCAGAGTAAAATTGGTTGAAGAATCAAATTTGTTGAAGATTCACCACAAAATACAGTACTGGTTGATACAGTACTGGTTGATACAGTACTGGTTTCTGAAGGATTTATATCCAGGAAGCCACTCGACTCAACTCCTCTGGACATACTGTCAATTCTTGCCCAGTAACAGTGTCCAGTGAGCTTAAGCGCTACTGGGATGGAACACTTTTATTTAATATTAGAAACCTCTATACACTTGTATACACTCAATCAAGCAGCATGAGTCACATATTCATAATGTAATATTTATATGTATATATACCGGTAAAAGAGTTTGAACTGAGTTAAAATTACATCTAATTGTGTGTGTCAGTATATACTAATATTTATATTTAATGTGCTTATCTTCATTTGTATTTGCTTATTCATTTGTTTTGATGTAGACATTAACAGACTGGGGTGATAAACGAAAGGAATCTAATGCTCGATCTTGAGCTAATACTTATGAGAGTGTACTTAATTTTGTTTTAATTTCAGGAAAAGATCTTGAAAAAGTTCTAGAGACCTACGAGAAAATACGCTGTAAGTTGCAAGTTGTTAACATTTTTATTGGTTTGAATAAAGTTAACATGAAACATTTTTGAGATGTTATGTTTTGCAAGTTAAGTGATCATCTATTTTCTATCATAATTTAAGTATTACCGTATATACATTTTTTAGTCAACTCCAATGCAAGGCAGAAGGCAAAACAAATCGAGGACAGGTCCGATGCAGCGCAGAAGTTGAAACAAATCGAGGACGGGTCCGATGCAGCGCAGAAGTTGAAACAAATCGAGGACGGGTCCAATGTAGCGCAGAAGTTGAAACAAATGAAGGACGTGTCCAATGCAACACAGAAGGTAAAACAAATCGAGGACGTGTCCAAGGCAAAGCAGAAGGTGAAACAAATCGAGTACGAGTCCAATGCAACGCAGAAGAGGAGACAAATCGAAAACGCCAGAGATCTGTAGTTGATAATTCACAGCTTCTTGATTATCATTGATTATTTCCGAATTTCAGTTTTATTTTACTCTTTCAGTCTTTCCTATATTTAAGTAGTAGCACGTGGTCTTTCGTGAGATGATAAGTATGAAATTTATTTATTCATGGTAAACACTGCACTCACGAAAACCGCAATTTTTTGTTCATGTTGGATTGCTCAAATCTTGATTATCATCACCTTCAAATGCATATTACTTGAAGGGAAGTGTGTTACATTTCAAATTAACAATTTTATCAAGTTCAAATGCATAACCTTGATTTCTTTAATTTTATTTATCCCATGTTGACTGACTTTAATAATAAAATTTTATTTATAAAAATAATGTGGTCTGATCGAATTTTCACTTTCAATTTTATATAAAAATTTTGTCAAGTTCAAATGCAATACCATAATTTTTTAATTACCCAGTATAGAATGAATATTGAAATCTAATTGATATTATTTCGTAAAATTTGTTGTGGTCTATATGTATGTTTCACTGTAGTTTGTTCACACAACATGATAACGTTTCTGTTAAATTACTGTCAATAATTCATTGGCTTTAAGATAGCTAGTGTACACTGGATCGTGTAACAGTGTGTAGCAAATATGGGGTGTTTAATATGGACGTCAATTTCACTTAACCCCATTTGTATTATTAGCATGTTGAATTATATAAAACTAGGTTATTCTGGCCTGTTTCCTTAATGGTGATTTATTTGTACAAGCCTTATGCGGTGGCGCGATATGTGCTGAGAAGATTGATGAGGGTTTTCGACCTCCATTCGAGAATTGAGAATAATAGTGTTCTTCATGTACTTTGTATTAAGAATTAAGTTTGTATTTCATTATATCTGTTGTTTGGATCATTTCAATTCGATCGTACAACTTTACAATATATGTACATTTGTCATTACAATATATTGTGTCCTTATTTGAACTCGTACTAGGCTAAAATACCTTATTAGTACTGTACTGGATAAAAAACATGTGGAAGAGGGCTACTCTTCCTTGTGAGCCAAATAATAGAATCTCATTTCATGGTTTGATTTTACACAAAGGATGCGATTACGACATCTAATCCCAAGGTAAACGGAACGGGTTATTCCTAAGGTAATTCCCCGCCTGAGTTCCCTCGGTCTATTGCTTGAAAAACTTCCAATAACGTCAGTTCCCTATACCTGCGCAGCTGCTCATTATCCAATTGCAGAAGTGAACTATAAATAAACATATTACTAAACAGGGAACCCAATGTTCTAATATTGGCAATGTTAGTCTAATAGCCATTCTATATCGTATGGTACGAAATAACTACGCACGACAGATATTAATCAGTCAGGGTATTCCACATTTTGCGTTGACTACGGACGACAACGGGTTCCATTATTTTTGCACCCAGGAAAGTACATTTCCACCCACAGACATTTTCACTCATGGACATCTGCACCCATGTACATTTCCATCCACATACATTTTCACCCATGGACATCTGCACCCATGTACATTTTTACCCACGGACGTTTGCACGAGGTGCATTTGTGTGGTGCAAATGTGCTACACCGGATAATCGTGCTGTGGGATGATTGTCATGCTGTTTGTTTCGGATCTCGTATGAAGCTCGTAATTCGTTTCATTCAACTTTTTCTATGATGTATAAATTTAACAAACAGCATGTAAATTGTTTCTAACTTGTATTTTTACTATCTTACGAACTAACTACACAGTATAAAAACGAGAATGCCGGTCGGAGACCGAAGACTTATCGATCGAAACTGCGGTTTCGATTTATGACACCGCGTGTCCCATCACTAATTAATCAATAACTCGCTATTTATACAACATAATTCATCCAAAATCAATAGGCTTCTGGTCCGAGATATGATGAATGAACATGCAAAATTTGGAGCAGATTCGACCTCGCTTTCGTGAGATATCGCGTGCATCTAACAGACAAACATAAAATACCTATCAACATACTTACCGATCAAGATCGATAAGTAACAAACATAATTTTCACCCATGGACATTTGCACCCATGTACATTTTTACCCACGGACGTCTGCTCTTTGTACATTTGTGTGGTGCAAATGTGCTACACCGGATAATCGTGCTGTGAGATGATTGTCATGCTGTTTGTTTCGGATCTCGTACGAAGCTCAAAAATAGACATATTTCTAGTTGTCACATTTTCGAATTCTCTGCATTCAGTCTGGAGCTATACTTGGTATTAGAAGAATAAGCTGTTTAAATGTATACTCTTGTAAAAAAATCAGTATTAGAACTAACAGTTAATCACACAGTTTCTGCCTTCCGTGTCCTAGAACTACTGACGCCGTGTATATCTTTAGGGTTAGGAAAGTATATACTGTATATATATATATTGACTTGTTGATGTTGGTTGAGGGACAGCTTATAGTCTGTCGTTAGACGACGAGTAACAACAGCAATGCCTCGACTGCCCAATCTCCCAAGACGTTGAAAGACACCTCAACGAGTCAATCTTTTATTATCAGCTCCGACGTACCGCCACGGTGCCTTTTTGATCGCAATACGATCCAACCCAATAGGATCACCAAACAGTGAATACGGAGTATCTTATATAGTAAATTAGCATGCACGGACATGCCCTAATCAAGTCTGTAACAAAAATAAATTATATTGAAAGTGATTCGTCATTGTGATATGACTTGCGCCTATTTAACTCAATTATGTCCAGTGAATAAAACAAGTCACGACGGTTTATAATTCTAAGAAAGTTCAAATTAACTAGTTTTACTCCGATTATTATCATTAATTTGAAAAACAACAGTAAAATCTCACTAAAATAACAACGTTATCCCTATATATCTTCTTGCAAAATCAATATTATCTAGTAGGTATACCAATATTTTACATCCAACTTCAACTTTTTCTATGATGTATAAATTTGACAAACAGCATGTACATTGTTTCTAATTTATACTATCTTACGAATTAACTACACAAAAAAAGCAAGTAACAAACATGAGTATAAAAACGTACAAATCAGAAATATTAGTTAACGAAGCAAAGCACTGCGCATATAAGGAATGAATTCAGAAGAGAATAATAAACAAAAAGCATCTCTCCACATTGGCCAAAATAAAAATAAAGGAATATTAATTAAATGGAATTATCCTCAAATGACTATGCTGTTCTCATAGGTAAAATTGAAAATTTTTTTTTAGAATCAACTGTACAAAAATTATAGCATAACCGATAAACTATTAGTATTTCGTCTAACGTAAATGGTTATTTTTTAATATCTCTTGGTTGTCCATTGTTGCTTGTTACAATCACCTCTTTTCCGACCGTCAATACATCATCTTTTTTTACCTTATTATTGCTAAAAGTCTCGTTGGCGTCCAATTTTCTTTCTCCGCAGTAGATGGAATATTCGACACCGCCGTATTCATCCAGTAGTTTCTGAACTTTGTCTGTTAGATTCACTTGTTTTGGTTCAGTTACTTGTTTTTCATAGTTTCTAACTGTGATATAAACCCTTTGTTGCAGGACTGATGTATCTTTAAATTATTTAAAAAATAGCTTCAGAACCAGTTTTATTCATTCTTGAAATTAGTATCATATTTAATTCTATAGCTATTCAAACCTATTTCTATAAATACCACAAAAAGATAGTTTTAAGCCAACATTTGGCGGTCACTAAAATGTAGAATGTGATATTAACCTTCCTGCTGAGCTCCGGAAACCTTGTTCTGATATTGCGTCATATGTTGATCGGATCCAACTAGAAAAAAGTTTACATGTTCAAAAATGGAAGTGAGTTCATAAAATAATTACAATGAATTCTGATTCCCAAATAAGTTTATCATCGCATTCTCAATATTCATTGAGATGAGATAATACGACTTTATGTGTCAAAAGTGAAACAATGCGATTCAATTATGCCAATTTCGTAGTCAGTTTCAAGATTTTTGGGAAATGTTGGAAGTCATACTACCAACCAAGTATAAATAAATATAAAGTTGTTTAGTATTATACTTGTTTGGTTATTTATTTCATATAGCTCGTATAATGTTTGCGAAATAAAACATTCGCGCGACGTAGTGCGTTCAGTAAACTAAGGCTATTGACCTTCCTGATTTTTCAGCAAAATACGGAACAATAATATAAATTATGATATTGAAAATATAAAAATACACACCTTGTATTCTAGCGTTACCCCTTTCAGTTATATCTGCTGTTCCATTGTTAACATCAATGCCTTTAGCCAGTCCCTCACCGTTTGCAACTGTGCAAAATAAATTGGCGACTTTCATGTGCCTGTGTTGGGCTCATATAGAGTATTTTGCATTTACGAGTAAAATTTTTAAGTTTGAAAAGATATTGTTTTCTTCTACATCGCATCTTAATTGTTCAGAATTCAGTAAATAATAAATCTAATCGCATATTGAGTTATTCTTACCAACGGAAATAGTCGCATTGTCCTCTCGTATCATTACCAATTCGCTTTCATTACCCACTGTTATTCCAGTTGCTTCGGCTGAATTTTAAATTAAATATAACAATTAGTTATTCGAGGTGAAATAAGAAGGTTAGAATAAAATATATAGACCAACATAAAATAAAATCTTCAAAGTTGAATGGATTTCTAAAAATATACAATCTGTAAATGTATTGTAATAATCGGCATACAAATTATATTATTAATAATTTTTTTCAATGTTTCTACTGCATGTGTGACTTGTTCTCCACATTCACTCTATTCAATGTATATACTAAGCTTTCAATACACAAAACAATATTAGATTATCATATGAATAACCTGGTTCTTGATTTCTGGAAGCTCCATTTTGGCCTTGCGGTGTTTGTTCCAGATTTCGAACTAAAAAGTTAACAAGATTAAATTTAATCTTAAACAAGATTTATTTATTTGCTAGATATGTATTGCATTTGTGTTTCAATTCGAACATCTTATGTGAAAAGAGAATGAATGGCTTCAAATAGAAAAATCCTTTGTAACTATTTTATGTTTCTCATTCTAAATATATGTCATTCCAACAACTTTTTCTTCAAAAAACATTTACACCTAACACAGAACTCACCTTCCATATAAGTATTGTTTTTTTCCGTTATCTCCGCTTTTCCACCACTGTCAATAATTATTCCATGTGAATCGTTGCCGCTGGTGGCACCTTTTTTATGCAATTATATAACATATTTATTTCTATTAGAGTAATCTTTATATGTACACAAGTCAGATGTGTCCACATTTATCGCTACAGAATTTGCTATTTCCACTACTTTTTCGTGTATGCCGCTGGAGTGTATTGTCATAATTCTTCCAAGCTTGGGTCCTAATTTTAAAGTATTTCAACGTGTATTTTCACTAATTTTCTATGTCACAAGTTGGGATTATATAAGCCTGCGTGGTCATTCATGTCTCTTTTCTTATTATAAGTTTTGGCAATTTTCTTGAATTTATGTTCTGTGTTTTCATTCCATGAAATAGAAGGAATTATTAAATTCTTTAATGTGTGTGATTATGATCATTGATATCATGGTATACAGATGAATACCAGACTAAAAAATTTTTTTTATGATATTACCAACTTCAATCCTCGAATTTCCTTCTCTTCTCCACTTTAGGTTTCCCCCATTACTCACCATTACACCAATTGTTTTTCCTTAATAAAAAGACTAATAGTTATATAACGAGGTTACTATTCGGGTACAAGGTCAGGTTGAATTATAACAAATTCAATTAATTATGAATTTTTTGATTAAAGTTAGTTTGTCTGTTCTATATTAACTTGAAATCGTGGATTTTCAAATAAAATAATATCATCATACCAGTAAAGATAAGGAGAAACTAAATTTATTGATAATATTAAATATGAAAGCGTTATCGGCCTTTGAAAGAAATTAATCAAAAGTGGAAAATAACCATTTATCTTCATCATATTATTATTGAAAATTCTAGCGTATTGTACTGGAAAATAATAAGATCTTAAAGAATCTGACCTTTTGTATTCTGGTTCGCCATTTCTGTTTTGTTACCTTTTTATTATAATAATTATAAACCGTTAATTAATTTTGCGACACGTTTTGGCTGAAAATATTAATTGAATTAATTCATCGTCAACTCACTATATTGCATACAAATATTGTATAAAATCAAATAGATAGTCATTATGCGTATTCTCTTGGTCGGGCATCAAAATTTTGTCATGTAGATAGATATCTGAGTCGTACATGCCAAAGGTCCGACAATAATAATATCAGACAGAGGAGCAAACAAACCAGAACTTTTAAACCACAAACATTAAAATCAAAATTTTTTTGATTCTTTTCAAATTTCAAACACCATTTTTAAAGATAACTTGTCGCTCGAAAGTCCATTCCAAGATAACTGGTCCAAAATATAAACAACATATATCTATTAATCTATTTATATTTTTCTCTCAAAATTTCTGCCTAATTTATTCCACAATCGTTCGATAAAATCAAACGACGAAGTTGACGGGTGCCCCCGTAGTATGTGTACCGGGTTAGGGAATCATTTTATTCCAATTTTCCTTATTTAAGTTCTATTACGAGTTCGGGGACTGTCTGTGTTAGCCAAATGAATATAGGTTTCAGTCCCTTTACACAACCTGATGTAAAATAGGCGAACAAAATTAGTAACCTCCATATTGGTACACATACTTCTGGAGCGCCCGTTGACGTGTCCTTACATTTCGACAGTTTCAAAGTTAAAAATTTAACCGCGATCGTGGTTGGCTTATATAGATTCATAACAGGAAGAAGAAATCTGATTTCACTTGAAATAGCACGGGGGTATTTCCCGAGGAAGGTATAGCTTGTACACTACCCCGTTATTTGCTTTTGCAAGTACACATGCGATAGCACGTTGGTATTTACCGAGGGAGGGAGGCTGTATCATTTACTTTTATGTGTCAGCAAGAACCTTAATTTGGTGGCGTTTAGTGTTGCCTTTGAAGTCCATTAGATCCACGCTGTCTCTCATGTCATTCTTGGTAAACGGTATTAAAGTGCCTTTTTTATTTTTCTAATTTCAATAAATCCTATATTGCATCTAAATTAGTTTTTCTCTATAAAATAAAATGTAGTGTTTATACAATACGAGACTGTTTTGTCATTACTAAGGTTAAGCATGGGTACGCGAAAATCTAACCAAATGATGTCTCATAAATGAATCGATGTTCTGAAAACTCACATTTTGGCCCGTAACCGTTCAGCCTATGTATCTCAATACTTGCGCAGAGTATTATGTATAATTGTCTGCATTTTGTTAACAGCCGTATAAATATACGATTGAATGATTTTCAATAAGGACCCAATCAGTCCAAGTCTCAACTCGGCACAAGCCGCTCCTATTTTACAAGTCAAGCGTGCTTTTGCGCTAATTTGATGCCAATTTTAGTAGGCTAACTGCTTGAATTACAGAACTGAATATAAATTTGAATTATATTCAAAATGATAATATATAACATTATAGAAATGGAAATTGCATCGTGGTAATCAAAAGAGTATATCATATGGGTATTTTGATTTGGTTTCTCACAAAGTAGATAGCACAGCATTCTATTGAAATTTAATTGTTCGAAGAACGAACGGTCACTTCAGCCGTATGTGCATATGGCATTGGATTTATATAAATAATTGGATGATTTTAGATATATATGAGTTGGCTGCATACGTATATGATGTTGACTTTGCATGTACATCACTTTGTGGCTGTATATGCATATTGAGTTGCTGAATGTTCACATACCACTGATTTTTTTTTCATAATCCACTTGAATGATTCTTTATGTGTATTCAGTTGCTTATACAAAACATATGGCAATCGAGGTGTATATACATTACTTGTATATTGAGTTGACTATATGCGTGCATATTCGCCGTGTGTGTACACGTTGACATTGGCCTAATATATACATATATATATATATATAAATATCACTCAAGTGGCTGTATATGTATATTGAGTTGGCTAGATATGCACATGGCATTATCTCTACATGTCTATGTGTTGGCTGTATATGTATGCATGTTTGGTGTAATATTCTAATTTTTTTTTAATATATATAAAATATTTTATACACCCCATTGCAAAGCCGCAGGTAAAACAAATCGAGAACGCAAAAGATTCATAATTGGTGTTTTGCAGTTTTTAGGTTATCATTGATTGTTCACAATTTCCAGCTTTATGTTACGTTACTAAATATGTTTTATTAGAAACCTCTGTCTGTACATGAGGCAATCAAAAAAGGCATTTGCTTTACATAAAAGTGTGTTGCATTTCAAATAAAATATATAAATTATACCGTCAGTTTCAAATGCATGACCTTAACTTTATTTATTTTTATTGATTACCCAACGTAGAATAACGTTAAAAACAAAAGTAATATTCTTTTATTCTTTCTTGAAAGTTGTTGTGGTCCATTTGCATTTTCATATTAGTTTATAACTATAGTGTCGTACTCAAATCCGTATTCTTCATTCATTTATTTTTATTGGTAACTGTATAAAATAACGTTGGAAATTAAATTAATATTGCTTCCTAAATATTGTTGTGGTCGATTTGTTTGCTTTAATTTGTTCACACAACCTTATAAAGAAGTTTTGGTTCCTGTCGATAATTTGTTAGTTCTAAGATTGCGTTGCAAGATTTAAGTTTGTGTCATGAGACAATTCAAATGTACACTCCATGGTGTAATAGGAAAACAATGTGATCTCATTCCATGGTATAATTTGACACAAAAGATACGATGACGATATCTCATTCAAGTCAAACAGAACAAGTTTTTAGGGGTATATCCCTACCTCTGTTCCCTCGGGCGATTGCTTAAAAAGCTCCATTTATTTACGCAGGTGTTTAATACCTGTATGCAGCGCTGGATTAACCATTGGACGAGAATATCGGTCAGAGACCGAAGACTTGTCTATCGAAAGTTAGGGGTTCCCCTAAAACAGAAACTGCGGTTTCGATTCGAAAAATTCTGCAAACCCGAACTAGATTGTTTTGATTAGTTTTCAGTCAATATCAAAAAAGTAGGAAACAATAGCCAACTTCCATGTCGTCGTCGAAATACTACTCGAGGAAATACTTTTATGAAGAATTCTGCAAATGCGAACTGGATTGTTTCGATTAGTTTCCAGCCAATAGCCTATTTACCAATCGTTTATTTTGTGTCTAATACAACGGCGCTAACCCGGGTTGCGACGGCTATTCAAGCCCAGCCTAGCGATATTTTGGTGAGGAATTCTGCAACCCCGAACCTGATAGAGGGATATGGACATTGCTTAAACTTTAAAGAGCAATTATAAGTAACGAGATACGATCTCGCGGCGTGTATCCTTCGCTCTGACTCACTAGCGTGAAAACTTGCGCATCGAACACGCACACACACATTCAGCGCGTCTCGAAAATCTCTCGCTTTGTAAAAATCTAGATCTCTTCATCACTAATTAATTAATAACTCGCTAATTATACGACATAATTTATCCAAAATCAATAGGCTTCTGGTCCGAGATATGATGACTGCACATGCAAACGCAGATTCAACCACGCCTTCGTGAGATATCGCGTGCATCTAACAGACAAACAACCAGACAGACAAATAATACCTATCAACATACTTACCTATTAAAATTGATAAGTAACTATATAAGCACGTGCTTAGGGCACCAAGCAGAGAGGGGCACGACAGAAATTTATATAGCATAATTTTATATAGTCGGTTTTATCGCTGTTATTAGAAAGTTTATCAGACGATTCAGACTTCAAAACGGTCGCTCATTTTTCCTCTTCAAGTATCATATACAGTACACCTTCGTTATTAAAAATAAACACTGAAATTTATTTCTTGGACACGAAATAGACCTATAAGTCGTTTCCTTAACCGTGTTGTTGCATTTTTGTTTGAAAAAAATATTTTCATATTTATCCATGGGACCAATTGCCTTATGGTTAAATATTTTTGCCGCTACAACTAGGCTATTTATTTTATTTATTTCAAAATTTCTTTGGGCTCCATTGGATTCGTATTCACTCGGAAGTTTTGTGTAGCGACATCATCATAACTAAAAATGTCGCACTATGTGGCGGTTCCGCGATCGCATTTCAACAATCCAGTGGTCAGCGAAGTCGCGAATTTTTTGATAAGTTAGACCGGTCCAAACCCTGGCATGCGGACACATTCCGTGCGGTCCGCAGAACAATTTTAGCGTGTATATATTTGTATATAATGGCAGAACGTTTTTGAGTTATTTTAGCTATTCAAACTAGGGTTGGGATCCCGAAATCCAAACCCTTTTACTGATTCCGATTTCATGAATGATGTTTGGTAAAATCACGGAATTTCAATGCTGTGTCTATAAACGTCAAGACGATGCCAATATGAGAATGACGTTCAGTGAGCTGTGATCGGTACAATGAGAATTAATTGTCTTGCAAAGACAGGACCAAGCCGATGAGTTGAGTCGCGCTTCTCATCTCAACTTGCACCTTTAACTTGCGTCAGGTAACTCCTAATCTGTATAGACGTATTGTGTCTTTATTTTAATAAGTACATTGCTCTGTTTTCGAGCGTGTGCCATGTGACAACAGTGACGAAACACAGAGCTGACTTAGCGCCACGCAATTCCGCTTTTTTTTTTATATAGCTAGGTCCCGAAATCCCAACTTAAGCGGACTCTGTTGTTATTTGACGATAGCACTATGCCTGCTCAAGCTACAAATTTTTAAATTACTCAAATATAACAATTTGCAATAAAATGAGTGTCAAAAGAAAGTTGACATTTGGAAAACTAGGAGAAAACGCATTTTCTTGCCCACCATAACCCTAGACCACAGTGTCTGGTTTGCTTACAACTAATATATATATATCTGTCACGAGAGAATATAATTTGAAGCGACAAAATAACTGAAGGCTTTATATATCTTCTTTAATGCTGTTGCTGATGTTATGTCTCCGCCGTTTGGTTTGGGCGAAGAAATTACTATACAGTAAGCATCGAAACAACGTCACATTATGACCTCCCTTTAAACGACATCGCCGGCACGTTAATGTACGAAAACTTAAAATTATTCTTGGCTGCGCAAGTCAATGAGCTAAGATTTGTACGCCAAAACAGAGAATGCATTGATATAACGCTAAACTTGTACACGCCGTTATTCTTTCATTGAGTTGTGGGAGGGTTACATTTTTGATGGCATTCACGTGCGCGTTTACTCTACAAATATAAACAGACAAATATAATGGAATTGCTGGATTCTTTGTATTAAGCTTCCGTCACTGATGCAAAAATGTGTGATCTGAGATGAACACCTCTGTCACGTTTTAAAATAAAAAATAAGTAATTATGCAGTTAGGGTTTCGGGTTAGAAACGGTTTGAAAATTTGAATTTCCGGCTGAATCTGCATCCCTCACCTTAACTGAATATTTACTATATTTCTATTCAATTCGAGCGTGGGCGGGGTGTTGTTTTGGGGTACGCTTGGTACAAATGATCCTGAGAATATTACTGTAAACTAGGTATTATACGATGTATGAAGCAAATCCCAATCGTCATTTGCATTCTGCATCTTTGAGATCACGCGTTAGAAGCGTGATCGGCTCGTAACTACAACCTGGAATAATTAAAGTAATCAGTTAATAACGTTTGATTGCAAACAATCAGCTAGCCTTTTTCGTCAAATACTTTTGCGCGGGAAGCCACAAGCGACATCGCTTTTAGTCAGTCACGAATGTTCGTGGTAAAATGAGGTTTGATTTTGTGTAGGATGTATGAATAGGCTGACTGTGGGTTATGACAGTGAGTTCGAAACAATATTCAGGTGAGCTAAATGTTCTTTATACCTATTGTTTTCATTGCTATTATATTGCTTTCATTACTATTTACTGAAATTTATATGAGATAATGAAATGTAGGTAAATTTTGTATAATATTGATTTGAATTAAATATAGTTGTTCGAACTATGTCATTATTAAGTTTTAAGTTTACGGGAAATGTAAATTTGACAGGAGCACAGAGAAGCTATGCTTATACTTTAGAATCTAATGTTTCCCAGCGTTTCCCAACCCGAGTCCGCGGACTCACTTATACTATTGTATAAGTGGTAAATTAGAGGTTTTCGGGCCTATACGAATTGGAATTATTAACCAAATACAGAAGTCTAGATTGATGGATGATTCTCTTTTGTATCGAACTCATTAATAGCGGGTTCCATCGTTTCCTCACAAATAGGCCAAACTTAAATGTTATATGGCAATACATAAACTTATCATATTAAGAAAGTTAAACGTAATGCACTGATCTACGTAACTACGTAAGCTGCATTCAACATGGTACGCGTTACATGAATGTAATGCATAACTTTCAAAACTTTTGCAAAAGTAGTGCAAAATCCATGGTTTAATAGAGATTCGCGGTAGCCTTTTTACTTTGATATATTATTGTGTATAGATTGGATCTTTGTACAAAGACCCTACCAACGTTCAAAATAGGATGATTAGTAAGTTAGGAATGCAGATTGCGCTGGAAATTCAAATTTTTCAATCATTCCTAACCCCAAATGAATAATTACTAATATGTCATTTTAAAACGTGGCGGGAGCTTTGTGCAAAAGATCCGATAGATTCAGTCTCGCTGTCCATTGAATATGCTAGCTACAGTTCTGCGATAGTTTATTTATCAATATCTTAACTTTTTTCAGGTGCAGAAATGTTAAAGGTTGAAGATTCAAAGACACAAAGTAACGAACGGGAAATATTACAAGTAAATATTATTTAAACATTTTATTTGACTTTCGACGCTCATTGATTCCTGTATACCACTGTTTAAGTTTAAAATGCTAAACAATTCGATGCGAGCGCACCGCGTCCCGGGTCTTGCGATCAGAGTCAGCATTGTTTGATCGTGTGTTTTTTCTCGAAATTGTGAGATTCAGATTTTGCTCAAGTTTTAATAATTGTAGAAGTCCAAAAAAGTACTATAAATATAATACCTCGTATCAAATTGGTGTACTCTTTGCGACCCCTAAAATTCGTTGCGCGCTTCCCTGCTGGATAGCGATCCCCAGTTTGCGATCCCAACCGTGAACAATGTGATAAGGCTACAAGTTATTGATCAGAGGTAATTAGTCATATACTCCATGAAACAGTTATAAAACTACACTGAGTGTTTTATTGTTGGACACGTTTAGTGGACATAACGATCGTTTCAAAATTTTGTTGTTATTGTTATTTGTCTCCATCATTTTAAATAAATCGCTTTTCTCTTCGAATACTGGACCAATTGCTTCAAAATTTTCAGTGGTTAAATATAAAATATTTCTCCAGAAGGCTATTACTTTTTTTTTCGCTATGACGTCATCAAAATTATTGCCATTGGGTGGCGTTTACCCGTTACGTATTTTATTAAAACTTACGTATATTTTTGAAGAAAATATTCAGAAAAGAGTCTTACTTTAAGAATACAAAATGAGGTACAATATGTTACAGTACAATGAGGTACAATATGTTCATTTGTGTAAATGAACTACCTGAAAATGCCATAGTTGGCTCAACGAAATTTAGTTTAATTCAAATTTAGAATTGGCTTACACAAAATCACGACATATATTGATTTTCAGCGTTTTAAAACAAGACAATATATCATTGCACCAAAAGAAATTCGCCAAGTTCCAAGTTTCATCACTGAGTGAGATGGAGACCTATCACGTCGGAAGAGGAAGTATGTAACCAAATCATTTGAAATCTTCCAATTTACATGTCTATAAATAAAGGATATATATATTGTAATTTTGTTTTTCGGGAAATCTACAGACAAATTATTACTTTTAGTATATTAAGTATAAGCCTAGTTTTGTTCCGTCTGTCAAATATAATTTTCTATAAATTACAACCTCAAAATTTCATAATAACATGATTCGCTCAACTACCGTTTTATTCTGGCTATTGACTCGTCCAAGTGAATAAGGCGGGGGTAATTTTTTAGAAATAAAATTAGGCTTTTTTCGTTCCCACTCAATAGTCGAGACACAATATTGCCACGCATTGCATTATATGTAGTATTATAACGGCCGTTTCTGTCGCACAATATTCAGTCCATGACAACGACAAGAATTTAAAATGTCTTTCTATTTTAATTCAATTGTGTTCATGGTAACTCGCGGTTGCGTCGACTTACGACAAGATGAAAGCATTAATTTTTCGAATTGCTACGGCAATCTGCGAACATAATAATGTGAGAATATATTGCCCGATTATATTTAGTTTTGATACATATTTTTGCGATCTTGCGAATTTGCTATCGCCGTTAGGAAAATCCTACTTTCTGCTATAAAGTTCCAAAACGTTTCAACTTGATTTAGTACTTATTAAAAATATATTTAAAGTTTATTAGTAGATTAAAAATACATATTCATCGCTTTGCCTTACTATTAAGTTAATTGTGATGATTTTAATTTGCAATTGTGTTGACGAAAAAAAGCAATAATACACAGAAAATATCAAAGTGGTAAAGGGCCCGATTATATTTTGTTTTGATTCGTATTTTTGTGAATTCGACAAATCTGAGCTGTTTGTGCAACATCTACGGCGCTCCAGTACTGTACGTACCAATGTGGAGACAGTAAGGCAAGGTATCCTAAGAAAAAATGCCCTGGTACGTACGTATACTACGGTATCACCCGAAATTTTGCAATTTGTAATGCTAAAAGAGCCGCGGACAATCAGAAACAAAACTTATGTTGTATCCGTTTTGTTTTTAGTATTTTGTATTGCCGCTTTTCAATTTAGAAAATTTGGGTTGCCACCTTTGACACCTACCAGAAAAAAAATTATTCGTCGTTGTTCGTACTCACGAACTCTATCGAAGCGTGTGTTTTCGTCGGAAATCCGCATGTGAGTTTTGAAATCCAATCGTTTGATTAAGCGACGCGTGACCCGTTACTAAATTTTCGAATAGTAAATTGCTATTCTAAGAGTTGAATATTCGAATATATGCCAAAATCTACTCATTAACCTGTAATTATTGTCTCGAATAATGTTATGTGTGAATACACTTGCCTTTTATGTTTTATGTAAATTCTAACGTAAATCGTAACTTGGCTGATAGTTAAATTCGCAAAAACGTTTTTAGCCCGCAGTGAATTTCTGGCTTGTTGCGGACTCATTCAAACGCTCCGCGGACTCATTTGAGACCGCGGACTCGGGTTGGGAAACGCTGGGAAACTTTAGGTTCTAAAGTATAAGCATAGCTTCTCTGTGCTCTTGTCAAATTTACATTTCCCGTAAACTTAAAACTTAATAATGACATAGTTCGAACAACTATATTTAATTCAAATCAATATTATACAAAATTTACCTACATTTCATTATCTCGTATAAATTTCAGCTTTCTGAAACACTTCTTGAAAGCGGGAAAGACAATCTAAAGATATGCGGAGTTATTCGTCCGATTATGCATCACTGAGAGAGGTGGCTGCCTTGAGTCTAAAGAGCAAGTATGTTATCATAATCTTTTGAATCTTCCTAATTTACATTCATCACCATGATTTACGGATCCCCACAATAAAGTTTGAAATTGTTATCTATTACTATTCCTAAGTAAGTCAAAATTGCTTTACTTAATTGAAAGGGTGAACATTTTGAATAGGCTTAATACCAGTCATAAATAAATTTGAATTTTATAGATAAATTAAATATATTAAGAATGTAAACTCAAAAAACATAATATTAAATTTTGGGTCCCTTTTGGTGTTTTTAAAATACTGAAAAAGTCTTAATAACGTACGCGATTACATTTTGGTAGAATCGCCGATAGTTTTCTTCAGCGTGACGTGTTTTTAATAAACAATTTATGTGCTTATTCTCTCTGAATCACAAATTTTACTTGGCATATGCCTGTATTGCTCTACGAGGCCGACGATAACTTTTTTTTCTTGTGCGGAATTAAGAGTTCAGTGTGCGAAACAAGTTAGAATACTATATTATAAAAATCAGTGGAGAGAAGCTAAGAATAAATGATAAAGAGGTGAATCCGTAGCCAATTTCTTGATTGAAAAGCGGCATTATAAAATATCAAAACTAAAATCTAAAACGGAAAATTTCATCATGAGTTTTGTTTTAGCAGTTTCGTAGCAGATTGAAAACGCTTTTTGGACATTGTAAATTTGTGATATGTTAGGATTTCTTTAAAATGTGTACAACTATACAATATAGTAACTAAAATCGAAACACAGTAAATTGTTCGCGCGATGTACCTTTTGTCTATTTTAAAACTACCGACGGAGCCCAATACGTCTTTTTCTCGGTATGTGGCGATTATAAAAGATAATTAATGCAAAATATATAAATCAATTTATTTTGCAATATAAATTACAATCGTTCGTATTTTGTCCATATTTTTAAATAATTTTGAGTGCCTAAAAAACAATCAAATTTGACTAACCTCAAAATATAATTTCGTCTACTTATAGTTGGCAGTTTGGGACGTATTTTATGCAGTTTTTAAATAGTGATTTTTCATTTTAATAATCGTAACGAAAATTACTATGATAAGACATTTTAAATGCTTGCACCGGCTATGAATTGAATATTTTACTCCAGAAAAGACTTTTATCCACTGCGATCTAACTCATGTCACATTAGAATTTACGCTAGTTCTCATATTTCGACGCTACTGATGTCAAATTTTATTAACGATGTTATTACTTCTTTTGACAGTCACAAAATTAGCCAAGTCATTATTTTAATAAGTTATCGAATGGCTCGCGGAGCCCCAAGTTTCTCTCACGAAGCACTTTGAGAACCTCCTCACTAATACCCCAAGGGAGAAATTTTCGTAAGAGTGTTTGAAGTATCGTTGTACATGTTTAATAGCTGAGTTTTAGGCAGAATATTGTACAATTAGCATCTCTTTGAAAATTGGGTGAGCGTAGTCAGTTTTACTTTGCAACATCATGCACGAGTGAGCGTAGATACACCAAAGAAATTGCTGACTAGCATGACGCAGTATAGCAAGTTAAAAGCACAAAGGGGGGAAACGTTTTTCGCGCTTGAGAATAATTAATAAAATTTATATTCGACAAGAGAGTCGTGCTTGAGGCGAACCAATAAAATTTATATTCAACAAAAGAGATAGTTTGATGGTAAGCCACACTACAAACACCACCATACGTATATCTCATTCTGCATGTAAACTTGTGCAAATAATCGTTTCTATAGAGAATTCTCTTTCTAGGGTCACTTTGGCGACGATCTCGATATTCAAACCAGAAACGTGACAATTTATATGAGCCAATCCTTAGTTTCGTGACGCGATTTTGTTCATATATGTTGAGCTAATACAACAGAGTAGGTCGATATGTTACGTAGAACATAAGCGACTTAGTATTTATGATTAGTCTTTAGAAGCCTATAACGTGTTGGACGGTGACACTTCGCGCTATTACCTTCCTTTGATGTATAACCTGCCAGATATTTTAAATAATTAACAACGCCACCACTGTGAATATGCTTGAAATATATTGCAGTCGACGAAATACCAGTCTACATGCACAAGTGCGATATAGACGAGTTATTGTGCTAAATGAAACGACGAAATTGTGTGGTGATAAAAACAAATGATTGATACCAGTATGGTAGAGATAGACGTGTAAATAATTCTTGCAATGTAGAGGTCCAAATGAATTGATATAGTAATATTGAAGGTTGTTTCAGTTTACGACCAACCCAACAGGCAGGTTAATAACATATTCAATTAAAATATGCAATCAACATAAATTTATGCAAAATAAATCAAACCATATCATTTAACTTAAAGACAAGCAAACAAATCCGCTCATTGCGGCAAGTAAATTAGCACTCCTTAAAAGAACGCCACCTATGCAACATAATAATAGGCTGATTGGAACGATAAACTATCATTGTTTATCAAATTTAAAGTGAGTAAACTCACGATATTTCAACCAATTTTGAATTTTCCCCGACTGCGGTCCGCGAGACCTCCTCAAAAGTTATTGCAGTCTTTCAACCTCACAATCTTGAACCATCCTACTAGCACCGGTAAAGTAAAGTACAGTTGCAAATTGAATCCTTCGGTATTTCGATTCACGTTGAGTTTGGACGCATGAATTTTCATCGTCACACTCCCTCCCTCCATCTCCCTCCTTAGAACTCAATCGATATATCGGTCTGCCATTGCGGCCGATATATATCGGTTATATAAAACTAAAAATGTTCGTAAGAATTTTTTTTTATTGTTGATTTTAATGGATAATACGGCTTATAATATAATATGCGGTTTATTGTTTTCAGATTACACATGAAGGGCACCAATTTCTTTAGTGCTTAGGGCACCGAAGGAACATGATCCGCCCCTGCCTGTATGCAGGAATATTAAGTAATAAAGCAAAAGCACCGCGCATAAAAGGAATGAATTCAGAAAAAAAAATAAACAAAAAGCACCTCTCCACATCGGCTAAAATAAAAACAAAGGAATAACAATGAAATGGAATCATCCTCAAATAGCTATGTATTTCATATAGCTCAAATTGAAAAATAATATTTTATGATAGGTGATAAAAATCATTGGATCAAAATTTTTGGAATAAACTATTCAAAAATTATAGCATAACAGATAGACTATTAGTTTTTCGTCTAACGGAAATGGTTATTTTTTAATATCTCTTGGTTTTCCATTGTTGCTTGTTACAATCACTTCATTTCCGACAGTCAATACATCATTTTCTTTGACCTCATTTTCCCTAAAAGTCATGTTGGCGTCTAATGTTCTTTCTCCGGAGTAGATGGAATATTCGACAACGCCGTATTCATCCAGTAGTTTCTGAACTTTGTCTGTTAGATTCACTTGTTTTGGTTCAGTTACGTGTTTTTCAGAGTTTCTAACTTTGATATAAACCTTTTGTTGCAGAACTGATGTATCTTTAAATTGTTTGAAAAATAGCTTCAGAATCATTTTTATTCATTATTGAAAATAGTATCATATTCAATTCTATAGTTATTCAAATCTATTTTTATGAATACAAAAAGATAGTTTTGTAGGACAACATTTAGCGCTCACTGAAATGTAGAATATGATATTAACCTTCTTGTTGAGATCCGGAAACCTCGTTCTGATATTGCGGCATATGGTGCTGGGATCCAACTATAAAAAGTTTATTTGTTCAAAAAGATTGTAAGGTAATGAAATAATAGCAATAAATTCTGATTCCAAAACAATTTTATAGTCGCATTTTCAATAAGATGAAGTAGACGACTTTACTTGTCAAAAGTGAAACAATGCGATTTAATTATGCCAATTTCGTAGTCAGCTTCAATATTTCTTTGGAAAATGTTGGAAGTCATACTACCAACTAACTACCAAGCGTCAAGCGGTTTATATAAATATATGTTTGTATAATTTCATACCGCTCGTACAATGTTTGCGAATTAAAACATTCGCGTGAGGTAGTGCGTTCAGTAAACTAAGGCTATTGACCTTCCTGATTTTTAAGCAAAATACGGAACAATAATACAAATTATGCTATTAAAAATATAAAAATACATACCTTGTATTCTAGCGTTACCCCTTTCAGTTATAACTGCTGTCCCCTTGTTAATATCAATGCCTTTAGCGTCACCGTTTGCAACTGTGTAACATAAATTGGCGAGTTTTATATGCCTGTGTTTGGCTGATATAGAGTATTTTTTTTGAGTAAAATTTTCTGAGTGTGGATGGATATTGTTTTTTTCTGCATCGCATCTCAATTATTCAGAATTTGGTAAATAATAAATCAAAATGCATATTGAGTTATTCTTACCCACGGAAATAATCGCATTGCCCCCTCTTGTCATTACCAATTCGCTTCCGTTTCTCACTGTTATCCCAGTTGCTTTGGCTAAATTTTAATTTAATTATTACAATTAGTTATTTGAGTTGGAATAAAATATATAGACCAATATAAAATGAATCTTTGAAGCTGAATGGATTTTTAACAATATACAATCTTTAGATGTATTTTACTAATTGCTATATTATTATTAACTTTTGTTCAATGCTTCTACTGCATGTGTAGCTCATTCTAAGCATTCACCCTGTTCAATACTGAGTAGCGCTGGGCATTCCGAATCGAATATTCGAATCGAATCGAATAGGTATCGAATCGGTTCGAAGCAAAATTTCGAATCGCCGCCATCTTTTTTTTTATTTCCGCGAATGGTCGAAGTAAATTTCTCAATTTTTTTTATTGAAGCCATATTTTTTCAACGCAATTCTGACATATGACTCTTTTCTGTAGTGAGTTATTGATGTAAACGTGTTTTTATTGTGTGTGAACGCTCAGCAAACTGCATCAGTAATGTATTTTATGTTTAGAATAATTTATGTGTCTGGAGTACCTAATACAATAAGAAAATACAACAATTTCATATCTCCTTAGGGACCTAAGTATTCGAGATTCGATTCGAAAAACATATTCGATTCGATTCTGAAATCATCAGGTATTCGAAAATGCCCAGCCCTAATACTAAGTTTTTAATACACAAAAAATCATTAGATTATCATATGAAAAACCTTGTTTCTGATTTCTAGAAGCCTCAGTTTGACCTCGCGGTGGTTGTTCCAGATTTTCAACTGAAATATAAACAAAACGAAATTATTCATAAAAAACTTGCTAAATTGATTCGGTAACTACGTATTGAATGTTCTAATTCCTAACGTCTAATGTGAAAAAACGCATAAATAACTTCAAATAGAAAAATCATTTTAAACTATCTTATGTTCATCATTCTAAATTTGTTTCTTTTCAATAGTTTGCTTTTTCCTCCAGAAAACAATTGCACTTAACACAGAACTCACCTCTGATAGAAGCACTGGCTTTCTCCGTTATATTCGCTTTTCCTCCATTTTCAAGAAGTATTCCATGTGCTTCGTTGCCGTTGGTTGAAACTTTTTCATGAAATTATATAATATATTTAGTTCCATTAGAGTAATATATATACAACTCTCACGTGATATATATTTCAGTTTGGATTTGAGAACAATGTAACGGACAATATAACGATGCCCGGACTAATAGGTGTCGCTCTGTATACATTATTTGTATTTACACTACTCTTGCGTGTATGTCGCTAGATTGTATTATCACAATTCTCCCAAGCTTGAGACCCGATTTTAGAGTATCTCATCGTATATTTCAACTTATAGTCTATGTCACAAGGTAAGATTAGACACGTTGTACATTTATGTCTCTTCTTGTAAACCTCATTCAAATTGTTGGCAACTTTCTTGAATTTATATAATGTCTTTCCTATCATGGCATTGTGTAATTAAAATAAATTATCAAAATATATAATGTGTATGATGATCATTAATATACTGGTATACAGATTAATATCAGACTAAAAAAAATATTTTTTTATGATATTACCAACTTCCATCTTCACATTTCCTTCTCGTGTCAGCTTTAGGTTTCCCTCGCCAGACACCTTCATACCAATTAATTTTCCTTGATAAAAAGAGGAATGGTTATAGAAAGAGGTTACTATTCAGGTACGAGGTCAGGTTGAATCATACAAATTTCAATTCATTGTGAATTTTTTGATTAAAGTTTGTTTGTCTGTTCTATCTAAACTCAAAATCATGTTTTTGAAATAAAATAATATCTTCATACCAGCAAAGATATGTAGAAACTAAGGCATGTTGAGCAAAACTACCAAAAATAAAAAATAAATAACTAATTATCTGTTTCATAATTATGATAGAAAATTCTAGCGTATTGTACTGAAAAATAATAAGATCTTAAATATCCTAACCTTTTGTATCCTGGTTCGCCATTTCTGTTTTGTTACTTTTTTATTATAATAATATAATAATTATAAATCGTTAATTAATTTTGCGTCACGTTTGCGCTGAAATGAGAATGAATTAATTTATCTTCAACGCAATATATTGTATACAATCAAATAGATAGACAGTATGCGTATTCTCTCGATCGGGCCTCAAAGAAAACTTGAAATTTTTTGCATGTAGATTGTAGATAGATATCTGTTCCGTTTATAACAACAGTTCGACAATACAAATATCAGACACAGGAGCGAACAAACCAGAACGTTTAATCCACAGACATTGAAATCAGCATTTGTTTTATTTTTGACAATTATATTGATATATACTGATGAAAAATAGCTTTTTGATTCTTCCCAAAGCTCAAACTCCATTTCAAGGATGACTTGTCGCTCGCAAGTCCATTCCCAGGTGACTTGTTCAAAATATAAATAACATATATTAATCTATTCATATTTTTCTTTTAGAATTTCTGCCTAATGCAATCACGTTATATAATTCCCTCAATCTGTTCGGGTATGAGTTCGACAAAATCAAACTAAGGCGTTGACCTGGCCTTGCTCGAGCCGTTGGACCTGTCGTTTAAAATTTAACCGAGGTCGTGGTTGGCTTATATAGATTCATAAGAGGAAGAAGAAAGCTGCTTATTTAACTTGAAATAGCACGTAGGTATTCACCGAGAAAGGTAGCTTTATATAGGTATTGCTTGTGCAAGCACAAGTGCGTTACCACGTGGGTATTTACCGAGAGAGGGAGCAATATCATTTTTCGTTAATTGTTTCCGCAAAATAGTTAATTTGATGGCGTTTGCTGTTGCCTTCAGAGTCTATTATATCCACGTTGTGGCTCATTCCATTTTTGTAAACGTTATCAAAGTGTCTTTTCTATTTTTCCAATTTGATTAAGGATATATCGCATCTAATTAGTTTCGTTTTTATAAAATCCTACAAAATGTTGGGTTTAATAACATACAACTGTTTTGTCAATTTGCCAATAAAATTTGCCAATTTTAGTATGATACAATTATATATCACGCAAAGTACATCATCAATATACGTATGTATGCATTTTTGATGTAATCATCTTCTTTTTTTTTTAATTTACAACGTTTTAACACAACAGGTAAAACAAATCGAGAACGCAAAAGATTTATAATTGGCGATTTGCAGTTTCTAGGTTATCATTGATTGTTTACAACTTCCAGCTTTGTGTTGCTTAATTTTTTTTTAGTAGAAACTCGTGGCCTTACATGAGACGATAATAGCCTACTTATCTGTTCATAGCAAACATTATACTCACAAACATCGCAATTTGTTCATTTTGGATTTCTCAAAGCGTGATCATCATCACTCGAAACGGCGCATTCTTTACATGACGTATGTGGCATTTCGAATAAAATATATTGTCAGTTTCGAATGCATGACCTTGATTTCTTTAGTTTTATTGATTCCCCCAAGTAGGATGACGTTGAAAAAGAAGTAATATTATTTCTTAAAATTGGTTGTGACCCATTTGTATATATTCACTTTAGTTTATAACAACAGTGTCAAGTTAAAATGCTTATTCTTCTTTATTTATTTTCATTGGTAACTATATATACAACAACGTTAAAAATTAAATTAATATTGCTTCTTTATTGTTGTAGTCTATTTGTTTGTTTCGCTCCAATATGTCCACACAACATTATAACGTTTTGGTTCCTGTTGAATTACTGTCGATAATTCATTGGCTTTAAGATAGCTAGTGTCACAAGACAATTCACAATGTACACTCAATGGTGTAATAGTGTAACAATGGGATCTCATTCCATGTTTTAAAATTGACACAATAGATACGATGACGATATCTGATCCAAGTCAAACAGAACGAGTTATTTTTAGGGTATATCCCTACCTATTTTCCTTCGATCGATTGCTCGAAAATCTTCAAATAAAGTTAGTTCCCATTACCTACGCGGTGTTTAAAACCTGATTGTAAGAGTTATCTATACAAATTAGGGATATGCCCTTGTTGACACATCCAGCCTGGCGCTTCCACAACTGCTCTTAATATATTTCACCATATTTAAAACTAGCTTCCAGCTTTAAAATGATGAAATATTATTTTCAATTTCTCTTTTTCAGCCAAGAACTATACAAATCAAAAAATAAACTAACTGATTATTTGTATAATCCTGTAAAAAATTTTTGAAGCTAATAATTAATTGCCTAGTTTGCCAGTCCTAAAATTACGGATATCCTTTATATATATTTGGTAATTCGATGTTATCCAGTAGGTCTAGATATCAAAATATGCCTCAAACTTTTCAGTTCCTCATTTTATATATATATATAATTGATCGAACCTGTTAAAATAGCCAATGTGTATTTACTGAGGGAGACGGTATCGTTTACTCTCATTGTTTGTGCAAGCACTTCAATTTGATGGCGTTTGCTGCTGCTTTTGAAGTCTATCAGATCTTCGCTGTGGCCCATGTCATGTTTTGTGAACGGCATTGAGGTATCAGTTAATCAGGTAATCAGGTAATCAGTCAAATTAATCCTAACTTGCACTTATTATTAATTATTTTTAAAAAATTGTACAAAATTTCATTTTTATACAATATACCTTAACGCAAAAATCTAATTACAGGTTGTCACATAAATGATTGAATGATGTGAAAATTCTCTTTTTGGCCACAACATTTCAGTCCGTGAATCTTAATACTTGTTTCCTCTATTTAGTAATATTGTCTGTATTTTGTTAACAGCCCCACAAATATACGATTGAATGACATTGAATTAGAGCTCGATCAGCCCAATATAAACATCCGAAACTCAACGCGCCATACGCCTTGTCTATTTCACAAGCCAAGCGTGCCTTTGCACTATGTTGGTGACATTGTTAGTATCTCTTTCAAATACATGACTGATTCCAAATTTAAATAATCTTTTCAAAGTATAACATTTTAAAATATTTCAATAGTGCAAAAGAGGAGGCGCGCGTAAGCATAGGGGTAGACAACCGCTAAAACGATACCTGTGACCATTTCGTGTCCCACGAATATGGAAAAACAATCGCATACGATATTCGAAAACCCATCATTGTACAAATGCTGCTACAAATAAAACCTCTTAATCGCCAGAAAAATCTTATTACAAACAAAAATAAAATTGAGATTGACACAAAACATTAAAAGACTAAAAGTATTAATCAATCATAGAATCACAAAACATTATGACCAAATTTCTTCAACTAATTGCAAAATTCAAGCTTAAAATTCAGTTAGGCAACTTATCGTTACCGCCCGTTTTGGAATGGAAATACAGTGATACTGTCGATCCCCAGTTGTGGCAAAAACATAGCCTACTGGTCCGAATACGTCATTGTGGGCATTTTAAAATTAATAGCCAAAGCCAGGGTATCCTAAATTTGAATTCACGAAGAGCGCAGTATTGTGTTGTTTATAACCCTTGAGTTTCGATTCAGGAGTCATCTCCAGTTCCAGCAAATTTTAAACAACGCGTAGTCGAGTCAAGGCATAGTAAATTCTATAAAAAAAAACGAGGTCGGAAATATGTCACAGATCGGCCGGTATAAAAAACGTTTGATACAAAGAATCATTGCTAAGACTTGTCGCTTGACGCGCTAAATCACAACCAGGATTAAATTCACACTATTAATACAAATGGTTGATTGACACGATAAATCTTAGTTACAGTCCACATTCGCTACATTATGTTATCGAGCTTTTAGAAACAAAATTGGATAAATTTTCTTGGAATGAACTGTACATATAGCATAGCAGATAAATTATTAGTTTTTCGTCTAACGTAAAGGTTATTATTTTAAATTTCGTTGTTGTCCATTGTTGCTTGTTACAATCACCTCTTTTTCGACCATCAATACATCATTTTCTTTGACCTCATTCTCGCCAAAAGTTATGTTGGCGTCCAATGTTTTTTCAACGATTCTAATTTTGATACGATTTTTTTGTGGTTCGACCAATGCATCTTTAAATTGAGAAAATAATATTATCTTTAGAACCAATTATTTTATTGATTCTATAACTTCTCTATTTACCTCTACTTGAAAGTGAAATTTTATATATATCGTTAAGATAACGTTTTGTTGCCACTAAAAATATATATACATAATGCTTGAGTTACCTTTCTGTTGAGTTCCGGAAACATCGTTTTGATTTTGCGATACCTTTTCTTGGCGTCCAACTAGAAAACAAGTTATCTCTTTAAAAATCAATGCACACGAAAATTGGCTAGTAGATTGGATGCCACAAATATTATACAAAAAAGTACTTGTTTTTGCTATATTTGTTAGATCAGTGATCTTTCGTGAGCTTCTTCGGAGTGTTGCGCGCGACAGGGATCGAAATTGCACAAATCGGCCGTACTTCGGCGCCTCTGGGTCGCATATTTGTCTGTCAACTGGCGACAAACAGGCGGGCAGGCATTACTATCTAAACAGATGCGCATGCCTCGTGTCAGTGTGGGAAACATGGCATTTTCGTCAACCGTTTAATATCGTTAACCGCCGGCCTAATTCTTTAAATGTCACGTCCACAGCTAACTTTTTAATTTTACCATTCATTAATTTTTTTAGAAACCATTCTTCTCAATGAATTCGTGGCTTTCAATGGAAGCTTCAAAAGAAGACGTGATAAGCCGGTTGTGCAAGTTGATCCATCACACAATTCTATTATTATCAATTTTACCTTCTAATTCTTGGTGTTCTGAGAGGCGAGATAAATATCGTAGTTTGAGAAACGCTATATTGGATCATTGTTTTCAAAGGAGTACATAACTACTGAACAAAGGATTTTATCTTTTCCTTTTTTTTTTTAATAAGGTACAATAATACAATTTACGAAATAAAAATACATTACAGTGACTTTTAGCGTTATCCTCTTCAGATATATCTGCTGTTCCCTCGTTAAAAACTCCTTCGACCCAACACTCGCTGTTTGGAACTGTTGTAATATAGATTAGCAAATTTTATGTAACTGTGTTGGTTCGATAAAGTATTTTTATTTTGGGAGTAAATCCAAACATGGGTGGAAATCGTTTCTTTTCATACGAATGTTAAGTTCAGATGTTAAGTATATTAGATAAATCAAATAGTATAATGAATTAATTTTACCAACGGAAAGAGTCGCATTGTCCTTTCTTATCATATCCAGTTTGCATCCTTCCCCAACTTTTAGTCCAGTTGCTCTTCCTGGAATTCAAATTAGACATTCGAAAAAAAAACGTATGTGCAGGGTGAACCAAAAAACAAAACCCATAAATTTCTCAAATATTTCTACGAAAATATAGTACATTTTTCAAGTTTATTTACACTTGAACTTCTGTTCGTGCACCCAAACGTTACAGAAATCTGACACGTTTTGCACAAACGTTATGTTCTCCCTAGGTCTAGACCAGGGGTGGACAAGGTTTTTGAAGCAGGGGTCAAAAATTTTCTCCACCTAGACTGGCGGGCCATGTTAGTGTGACGTAAAAATTTACATTTTATGAACAATATTTACAGTGTTACAAAGCAAGGGTGAGAAACAATGTGCCTCGTGGCAAAATCAAATTTAACCGCCATCTCAACAAATTCCTTGAGCTATTTTTAGCTAAATATCAACATTTTATTTCAGTTTGGTTATGACAGCATCAGGCAGGCCAGGTTGAACGAGTCGGTGTTGAAGAAAGACTGCTGCATTGTTGCGAAAAATTGTCAATCATTTGCACACACTACTCTTTGTGTATTTCTTTGATTTTTTGCTGAAATTGCATGTTTGAGATCGCCCTGATACGCATTGTCCTACGAATACCCTTATAATTTAAAAGGTGGGGGTTCAAGTCCGATAAATGAAATGCCCCCCTCTACCAAGTAAGTAATACTAAGTAAAATCCCAAACTTCCCCGGCGCGTAACGTTCCGTATCAGCGTTTGCGCTTTTTCATTTTCGTCTTCAAACCAATACGGACCGATCATGCCATGTTGCTATTGACGTGTACTGGTAGCAGAAACTGCGCTCCAGCAGAAAACCAATAAAAACATTCACAATTTTGCGCAATGGATGCGAGTCTTTTTCTAATGTCAAAGAAGTAATTTTGAACATATTCTGGAAGAAACATAACTTTTGTACAAAGTGTCATAGATTTCTGAAACTTTTGGGAGTAAGAAGTTCAAGCGCGAATAGAATTAAATTATGAAATATATGAGCTACGTTTTTTAGAGGGTCACATTGTAATTGAGCCAACAGCAGTCAAAGATGATAGGATCATAAAAAAAGAATTTCGCCAACATAGTATCAAATTATGGAAATTTCTTGAATTTCTAACGATCTACAATCTCTAGCTGTGTTTTATTAGTCGGCATAAAATTACATTATTAAACAACTTTTTGCAATTCTTCATCTCTATATGTAAGATAATTTAATACTAAGTTTTTAATATATTCCGGTAGGACATCATTATTCTTTAGCTAATGAGATTTACAACCTTTTTGCTGATTTGTGGGAGCCTCCATTTGGCCTTGCGATGTTTGTCTTGAATTTCCAACTAAAAAGTTAACAATATGTAATTGAATCATAAAACTGCCTGGGTGATTTCGTAACTACCTTTTGAAATTTCGTGTTCCAATTTGTAACGTTGTCTATTAAATGCGAAAGGAGATTAAATGACTCCAAATAAGAAAATCATATGTAAATATTTTCATGTTTTTCCTACTGAAAATATTTCTTTCGACCTTTTTTTCTTTTTCTCCAACCGGCAATTACATAACACAACTTATAAAGCAGAACTAACCTTCCATACAAGCATTGTCCTTTTCCGTTATGTTCGCTTCTCCTCCATTTTCAAGAAGTATTCCAATTGCTTCATTGCCTTTAGTGGCGTCTTTTTATATTGAATAATATAATATACTTAGTTAAAATAATGGATTATTGCATTATGTATAAAACATTTACATCATATTTTAGTTTGGTTTTGGGAACAATGTAAGACCTAGAATGCTAATATGTGTCTTGCATTTATCGCTGTATTATTTCTATTTCCGCTACTTTTGTCACAATGTCGCCGGTGTATATTGTCACAAATCTCTCAAGCCTAACTCTCTTTTTCAAAGGATCTCATCGTGTTTTTTCACTTATATTTTATGTGATAAGCTGAGATTACCCATGTGGTACATTTATGCCTCTTGTTTCATACCGAATCTAAAGTTTTGCAAACATTTCCGAATTTCTGCCCTGTGTTTTTAAGTCTTGTATTGTAAATGTTTCATCCTGTACCGAATGTGGAATATAACTATGGATTTTTATGTTATTTAACCCTGCTAAAACGCTTAACACCGTTTATTAATATCGTGTTGAATTCAAATAAAATAGGTCATTTCAACAATCTCCCTGATGATGATTTATCGTAGCAAGGCTTTGCTCTCCATGCTTCTTTGAATCAGCGTTATTTGTATCGACCAATTTGTTAAGTGTTTTCGGCCTCCGTCCGAGAGTTGAGTATATAGTGTTTTTCATGCTTTGTGTTGCTTACATATTTCGATTTCAACCGTATAGCTGGTATTGAGATTTAAGTGTATATTTCAATATACCTGTTTGGATTCAATTCAAACATGCAACTTTACGAGTACAACACAAACGTTGGGCAATATATTATATTGTGTGCTTATAGACTGCTTTAAGGAGTGAGTTTGGGGGTTTACTCCGCTAACGTATGTATAATAATATGAGACACGCAGATAGGGACATTCTCCTCTATAATACCATGGGGAAGTTCTAAATAAATTATATAACATAATTATGATGCGCATTCATTTAATCTTCTGCAGATGAATATCAGACTCAAAATTCTATTTTATGATATTACCAACTACCATCCTCGCATTGCCTCCTCTGGTCATCGTCAGTTTTCCTGTGTTACGAATCAATACACCCATTTCTTTTCCTGGATATAAAGGGTATTATACATATAACGAGATTACAATTCAGGTACGAGGTCAAGATGGATTGCAACAAATTCAATTCATTTCGAAGTTTTTGAATAAAATTTGTCTGACTTTTGTAACTAAACTTGAATCATACAAACAAAGCTTTATTCGTAAGTAAGAATCCTGTTGAATATTAATATTATTATAAGAAGTGTTATCAATCTGTTGAGTAAAATACTCAAAAAGGGAAAGTGAATAACTATCTCAATCATATATTTGAGAATTCAACCCCTAAATAATAATATCATAAATAATCTAACCTTCTGCATTCTGGTTATCCATTTCTGTTTTGTTATCTTTTTATTATAATAATTATAAATCGTTAATTAATTTTGCGAGAAATTTGCGCTGAAACGAGAATGAATTAATAGATCGTCAAGTATATTATATACAAATTTTGTACACAACCAAACAGATAGCCAGTTTGCATATTCTCATTGTCGGGTTTCAAAGTAAACTTTATATTATATGTCATGTAGATCGATCTCTGTTCCGTTTATAACAAAAGTCCGACAATAAAAATAGGAGACATAGGGGCAAACAAACCGGGGCATTTAAAATTGAAAATTTGCCTTTTGTTGATTATATAGATATATACTCATCCAAAATAACTTTTTGATTCTTGCCAACGCTCAAACACCATTCAGGCATATGTCTAAAAGCCCATTCTACGATAACTGGTCCAAAATATAAATAACATATAAACTATTTATTTTTTCTTTTAGAATTCTTTCCTGATTTATCACGTTATTTAATTTCAACAATCTGTTCGGGTAAGCGTTCGATAAACTCAAAGGACACCGTTGACGGATACTCCCGTAGTATGTGTACCAGGTTAGAGTTTCTATATTTTAGGTCCATTACGAGTTCGGGGACTGTCTGTATTAGCCAAGTGAATATCCCCCTGCTCACAGGTTTCAGTCTTTCTACACAACTTGATGTAAAATAGGCGAACAAAATTAGTAACCTCCATATTGGTACACTTACTTCTGGGGCGCCCGTTGACGTGTCCTTACATCTCGACAGTTTCTTGATTTTACCGAGATCGTGGTTGGCTTATATAGATTCATAAGAGGAAGAAGAATTTTTTTCAATTGAAATAGCACATGGGTATTCACCAAGGTACGTAGCTGTATGTATCCGTGGTCGAGTGTCGGGCAGTATTTTAGCCGACGATAAATTAATAAGGAAGTTGCCACACGTGGTGAAGCCAAGAACTGCAACCTTTTTCACATCGGGTGACGCCGTGAACCTTCTCTAAATAACATTCTCTGGATTAAATTAACTATGTCTACGTTTAAAACTACGTTTTAACACAACAGGTAAAACAAATCGAGAACGCAAAAGATTTATAATTGGCGATTTGCAGTTTCTAGGTTATCATTGATTGTTTACAACTTCCAGCTTTGTGTTGCTTAATTTTTTTTTTAGTAGAAACTCGTGGCCTTACATGAGACGATAATAGCCTACTTATCTGTTCATAGCAAACATTATACTCACAAACATCGCAATTTGTTCATTTTGGATTTCTCAAAGCGTGATCATCATCACACGAAACGGCGCATTCTTTACATGACAGTATGTGGCATTTCGAATAGAATATATTGTCAGTTTCGAATGCATGACCTTGATTTCTTTAGTTTTATTGATTCCCCCAAGTAGGATGACGTTGAAAAAAGAAGTAATATTATTTCTTAAAATTGGTTGTGACCCATTTGTATATATTCACTTTAGTTTATAACAACAGTGTCAAGTTAAAATGCTTAGTCTTCTTTATTTATTTTCATTGGTAACTATATATACAACAACGTTAAAAATTGAATTAATATTGCTTCTTTATTGTTGTAGTCTATTTGTTTGTTTCGCTTCAATATGTCCACACAACATTATAACGTTTTGGTTCCTGTTAAATTACTGTCGATAATTCATTGGCTTTAAGATAGCTAGTGTCACAATAAAGTTAGTTCCCATTACCTACGCGGTGTTTAAAACCTGATTGTAAGAGTTATCTATACAAATTAGGGATATGCCCTTGTTGACACATCCAGCCTGGCGCTTCCACAACTGCTCTTAATATATTTCACCATATTAAAAACTAGCTTCAAGCTTTTAAATGATGAAATATTATTTTCAATTTCTCTTTTTCAGCCAAGAACTATACAAATCAAAAAATAAACTAACTGATTATTTGTATAACCCTGTAAAAATCAGTTTTAAAGCTAATAATTAATTGCCTAGTTTGCCAGTCCTAAAATTACGGATATCCTTTATATATTTTTGGTAATTCGATGTTATCCAGTAGGTCTAGATATCAAAATATGCCTCAAACTTTTCAGTTCCTCATTTTATATATATATATAATTGATCGAACCTGTTAAAATAGCCAATGTGTATTTACTGAGGGAGACGGTATCGTTTACTCTCATTGTTTGTGCAAGCACTTCAATTTGATGGCGTTTGCTGCTTCTTTTGAAGTCTATCAGATCTTCGCTGTGGCCCATGTCATGTTTTGTGAACGGCATTGAGGTATCAGTTAATCAGGTAATCAGGTAATCAGTCAAATTAATCCTAACTTGCACTAATTATTAATTATTTTTAAAAAATTGTACAAAATTTCATTTTTATACAATATACCTTAACGCAAAAATCTAATTACAGGTTGTCACATAAATGATTGAATGATGTGAAAATTCTCTTTTTGGCCACAACATTTCAGTCCGTGAATCTTAATACTTGTTTCCTCTATTTAGTAATATTGTCTGTAATTTGTTAACAGCCCCACAAATATACGATTGAATGACATTGAATTAGAGCTCGATCAGCCCAATATAAACATCCGAAACTCAACGCGCCATACGCCTTGCCTATTTCACAAGCCAAGCGTGCCTTTGCACTATGTTGGTGACATTGTTAGTATCTCTTTCAAATACATGACTGATTCCAAATTTAAATAATCTTTTCAAAGTATAACATTTCAAAATATTTCAATAGTGCAAAAGAGGAGGCGCGCGTAAGCATAGGGGTAGACAACCGCTAAAACGATACCTGTGACCATTTCGTGTCCCACGAATATGGAAAAACAATCGCATACGATATTCGAAAACCCATCATTGTGCTGCTACAAATAAAACCTCTTAATCGCCAGAAAAATCTTATTACAAACAAAAATAAAATTGAGATTGACACAAAACATTAAAAGACTAAAACAAACTATTAATCAATCATAGAATCACAAAACATTATGACCAAATTTCTTCAACTAATTGCAAAATTCAAGCTTAAAATTCAGTTAGGCAACTTATCGTTACCGCCCGTTTTGGAATGGAAATACAGTGATACTGTCGATCCCCAGTTGTGGCAAAATCATAGCCTACTGGTCCGAATACGTCATTGTGGGCATTTTAAAATTAATAGCCAAAGCCAGGGTATCCTAAATTTGAATTCACGAAGAGCGCAGTATTGTGTTGTTTATAACCCTTGAGTTTCGATTCAGGAGTCATCTCCAGTTCCAGCAAATTTTAAACACCGCGTAGTCGAGTCAAGGCATAGTAAATTCTATAAAAAAAAAAACAAGCCGGTAGGCGCCCAGGATTTTCTGCTAACGGTTGACGCCTTCGCTCAAGCAACCGGTTACCATGGCTGGAATCGCGCGGATCCATAACGGTAGTGGGATTCAAGGAGATGGTTACTGATACTGCCAGTTCATTTAAACACTGCACGTTTTGTAGACATTCTTGAGTATGTGGTATACCAGGGGTCGGCAACCTACGGCCCGCGGACCGGATCCGGCCCGCGGACCGGATCCGGCCCGCGGAGCACTATAATCCGGCCCGCGACGCTTCACTGAATTATAGTAACAAAACATCCGTTTTTACGAATATATTCTTTAGATTAATTATAATTAAGCAAATGGCAACAAAGCACAGAAAAGTTGATGCTAAGTGCAAAGGGTTCAATGGCGCTGAAAATATTCAAATGAAATTTTATGAGATGCAATGAGGAAATAAATCTATATTCTATTCGAGAGATGTATCACAGCTTGATTTTTATTATAAAAAGTACCATCCGTTCGGTTTTTCAACTTTCTAAATATATGTGCGGCCCGCCGATGACTTGCAACCTCAATTTTGGCCCGAGAGCGACAAAAGTTTGCCGACCCCTGTTGTATACTGTAGTTAATAATTGAAATAATGTTCAGCATAATCCCTAAGGCTCCTTCACTTTATGGAGTTTCAAGACGAAAGACGATTTGTTCGAAAGAGTATTTTCTTCTGCGAAAGGTAGCGTTCTTCGAATTTCAATTTTCGACTTGGTTGACGGGAAAACGACGATATCAGCAAAATCATCGCGCATAAAAGGAATGAATTCAGAGGAGTAATTAAACAAAAAGCACTTCTTCACACCCGTCAAAGTAAAAACCAAAAAATAATATTAAAATGGAATCATCCCCAACTAGCTTTGCTGTTTTTATAGCTCAAATTAAAAATGATTGTTTATGATATAATAGGGGATAGATGTCCCTATCTGAGTGTCCATACTTCCGTATTATTATAGTAAATACGTTAGCAGAGCAAACCCCAATCCAACTTCTCAGAGTTCAATAAGCACACAATAGATTGTAACGCCAAGATTCGTCGTATATTGTAAAGTAGCACGATCGAATTGAATACAAAACTGATATATTTAAATATATACCCGTTATACGGTTGAAATCAAGATCAGTATTAAAAAACATGAAAATCCCCTATTCTCAACTTTCGAACTGAGGTCGGAAATATGTCACAGATCGGCCGGTATAAAAAACGTTTGATACAAAGAATCATTGCTAAGACTTGTCGCTTGACGCGCTAAATCACCACCAGGATTGAATTTACACTATTAATACAAATGGTTGATTGACACGATAAATCTTAGTTACAGTCCACATTCGCTACATTATGTTATCGAGCTTTTTAAAACAAAATTGGATAAATTTTCTTGGAATGAACTGTACATATAGCATAGCAGATAAATTATTAGTTTTTCGTCTAACGTAAAGGTTATTATTTTAAATTTCGTTGTTGTCCATTGTTGCTTGTTACAACCACCTCTTTTTCGACCATCAATACATCATTTTCTTTGACCTCATTCTCGCCAAAAGTTATGTTGGCGTCCAATGATTTTTCAACGATTCTAATTTTGATACGATTTTTTTGTGGTGCGACCAATGCATCTTTAAATTGAGAAAATAATATTATCTTTAGAACCAATTATTTTATTGATTCTATACCTTCTCTATTTACCTCTACTTGAAAGTGAAATTTTATATATATCGTTAAGATAACGTTTTGTTGCCACTAAAAATATATATATATAATGTTTGAGTTACCTTTCTGTTGAGTTCCGGAAACATCGCTTTGATTTTGCGATACCTTTTCTTGGCGTCCAACTAGAAAACAATTTATCTCTTTAAAAAATCAATGCACACGAAAATTGGCTAGTAGATTGGATGCCACAAATATTATACAAAAAAGTACTTGTTTTTGCTATATTTGTTAGATCAGTGATCTTTCGCGAGCTTCTTCGGAGTGTTGCGCGCGACAGGGATCGAAATTGCTTAAATCGGCCATACTTCGGCGCCTCTGGGTCGCATATTTGTCTGTCAACTGGCGACAAACAGGCGGGCAGGCATTACTATCTAAACAGATGCGTATGCCTCGTGTCAGTGTGGGAAACATGGCATTTTCGTCAACCGTTTAATATCGTTAACCGCCGGCCTAATTCTTTAAATGCCACGTCCACAGCTAACTTTTTAATTTTACCATTCATTAATTTTTTTAAAACCACCCTTCTCAATGAATTCGTGGCTTTCAATGGAAGCTTCAAAAGAAGACGTGATAAGCCGGTTGTGCAAGTTGATTCATCACACAATTCTATTATTATCAATTTTACCTTCTAGTTCTTGGTGTTCTGAGAGGCGAGATAAATATCGTAGTTTGAGAAACGCTATATTAGATCATTGTTTTCAAAGGAGTACATAACTACTGAACAAAGGATTTTATCTTTTCCTTTTTTTTTTCTTAATAAGGTACAATAATACAATTTACGAAACAAAAATACATTACAGTGACTTTTAGCGTTATCCTCTTCAGATATATCTGCTGTTCCCTCGATGACAACTCCTTCGACCCAACACTCGCTGTTTGGAACTGTTGTAATATAGATTAGCAAATTTTATGTAACTGTGTTGGTTCGATAAAGTATTTTTATTTTGGGAGTAAATCCAAACATGGGTGGAAATCGTTTCTTTTCATACGAATGTTAAGTTCAGATGTTAAGTATATTAGATAAATCAAATAGTATAATGAATTAATTTTACCAACGGAAAGAATCGCATTGTCCTTTCTTGTCATATCCAGTTTGCATCCTTCCCCAACTTTTATTCCTGTTGCTCTTCCTGGAATTCAAATTAGACACTCGAAAAAAAAACGTATGTGCAGGGTGAATCAAAAAACAAAACCCATAAATTTCTCAAATATTTCTACAAAAATATAGTTCATTTTTCAAGTTTATTTACACTTGAACTTCTGTTCGTGCACCCAAACTTTACAGAAATCTGACACGTTTTGCACAAACGCTATGTTCTCCCTAGGTCTAGACCAGGGGTGAACAAGGTTTTTGAAGCAGGGGTCAAAAATTTTCTCCACCTAGACTGGCGGGCCATGTTAGTGTGACGTAAAAATTTACATTTTATGAACAATATTTACAGTGTTACAAAGCAAAGATGAAAAACAATGTGCCTCGTGCCAAAATCAAATTTAACCGCAATCTCAACAAATTCCTTGAGCTATTTTTAGCTAAACATCAACATTTTATTTCAGTTTGGTTATGACAGCATCAGGCAGGCCAGGTTGAACGAGTCGGTGTTGAAGAAAGACTGCTGCATTGTTGCGAAAAATTGTCAATCATTTGCACACACTACTCTTTGTGTATTTCTTTGATTTTTTGCTGAAATTGCATGTTTGAGATCGCCCTGATACGCATTGTCCTACGAATACCCTTATAATTTAAAAGGTGGGGGTTCAAGTCCGATAAATGAAATGCCCACCTCTACCAAGTAAGTAATACTAAGTAAAATCCAAAACTTCCTCGACGCGTAACGTTCCGTATCAGCGTTTGCGCTTTTTCATTTTCGTCTTCAAACCAATACGGACCGATCATGCCATGTTGCTATTGACGTGTACTGGTAGCAGAAACTGCGCTTCAGCAGAAAACCAATAAAAACATTCACAATTTTGCGCAATGGATGCGAGTCTTTTTCTAATGTCAAAGAAGCAATTTTGAACATATTCTGGAAGAAACATAACTTTTGTACAAAGCGTCATAGATTTCTGAAACTTTTGGGAGTAAGAAGTTCAAGCGCGAACAGAATTAAATTATGAAATATATATATGAGTTACGTTTTTTGGAGGGTCACATTGTAATTGAGCCAACAGCAGTCAAAGATGATAGGATCATAAAAAAAGAATTTCGCCAACATAGTATCAAAATATGGAAATTTCTTGAATTTCTAACGATCTACAATCTCTAGCTGTGTTTTATTAGTCGGCATAAAATTACATTATTAAACAACTTTTTGCAATTCTTCATCTCTATATGTAAGATAATTTAATACTAAGTTTTTAATATATTCCGGTAGGACATCATTATTCTTTAGCTAATGAGATTTACAACCTTTTTGCTGATTTGTGGGAGCCTCCATTTGGCCTTGCGATGTTTGTCTTGAATTTCCAACTAAAAAGTTAACAATATGTAATTGAATCATAAAAACTGCCTGGGTGATTTCGTAACTACCTTCTGAAATTTCGTGTTCCAATTTGTAACGTTGTCTATTAAATGCGAAAGAAGATTAAATGACTCCAAATAAGAAAATCATATGTAAATATTTTATGTTTTTCCTACTGAAAATATTTCTTTCGACCTTTTTTCTTTTTCTCCAACCGGCAATTACATAACACAACTTATAAAGCAGAACTAACCTTCCATACAAGCATTGTCCTTTTCCGTTATGTTCGCTTCTCCTCCATTTTCAAGAAGTATTCCAATTGCTTCATTGCCTTTAGTGGCGTCTTTTTATATTGAATAATATAATATACTTAGTTAAAATAATGGATTATTGCATTATGTATAAAACATTTACATCATATTTTAGTTTGGTTTTGGGAACAATGTAAGACCTAGAATGCTAATATGTGTCTTGCATTTATCGCTGTATTATTTCTATTTCCGCTACTTTTGTCACAATGTCGCCGGTGTATATTGTCACAAATCTCTCAAGCCTAACTCTCTTTTTCAAAGGATCTCATCGTGTTTTTTCACTTATATTTTATGTGATAAGCTGAGATTACCCATGTGGTACATTTATGCCTCTTGTTTCATACCGAATCTAAAGTTTTGCAAACATTTCCGAATTTCTGCCCTGTGTTTTTAAGTCTTGTATTGTAAATGTTTCATCCTGTACCGAATGTGGAATATAACTATGGATTTTTATGTTATTTAACACCGTTTATTAATATCGTGTTGAATTCAAATAAAATAGGTCATTTCAACAATCTCCCTGATGGTGATTTATCGTAGCAAGGCTTTGCTCTCCATGCTTCTTTGAATCAGCGTTATTTGTATCGACCAATTTGTTAAGTGTTTTCGGCCTCCGTCCGAGAGTTGAGTATATAGTGTTTTCCATGCTTTGTGTTGCTTACATATTTCGATTTCAACCGTATAGCTGGTATTGAGATTTAAGTGTATATTTCAATATATCTGTTTGGATTCAATTCAAACATGCAACTTTACAACACAAACGTTGGGCAATATATTATATTGTGTGCTTATAGACTGCTTTGAGGAGTGAGTTTGGGGGTTTACTCCGCTAACGTATGTATAATAATATGAGACACGCAGATAGGGACATTCTCCTCTATAATACCATGGGGAAGTTCTTAATAAATTATATAACATAATTATGATGCGCATTCATTTAATCTTCTGCAGATGAATATCAGACTCAAAATTCAATTTTATGATATTACCAACTACCATCCTCGCATTGCCTCCTCTGGTCATCGTCAGTTTTCCTGTGTTACGAACCAATACACCCATTGCTTTTCCTGGATATAAAGGGTATTATACATATAACGAGATTACAATTCAGGTACGAGGTCAAGATGAATTGCAACAAATTCAATCCATTTCAAAGTTTTTGAATAAAATGTGTCTGACTTTTGTAACTAAACTTGAATCCTACAAACAAAGCTTTATTCGTAAGTAAGAATCCTGTTGAATATTAACATTATTATAAGAAGTGTTATCAATCTGTTGAGTAAAATACTCAAAAAGGGAAAGTGAATAACTATCCCAATCATATATTTGAGAATTCAACCCCAAAATAATAATATCATAAATAATCTAACCTTCTGCATTCTGGTTATCCATTTCTGTTTTGTTATCTTTTTATTATAATAATTATAAATCGTTAAGTAATTTTGCGAGAAATTTGCGCTGAAACGAGAATGAATTAATAGATCGTCAAGTATATTATATACAAATTTTGTACACAACCAAACAGATAGCCAGTTTGCATATTCTCATTGTCGGGTTTCAAAGTAAACTTTATATTATATGTCATGTAGATCGATATCTGTTCCGTTTATGACAAAAGTCCGACAATAAAAATTTGCCTTTTGTTGATTATATAGATATATACTCATCCAAAATAACTTTTTTATCCTTGCCGACGCTCAAACACCATTCAGGCATAACTTATTGTCTAAAAGCCCATTCTACGATAACTGGTCCAAAATATAAATAACATATAAACTATTCATTTTTTTCTTTTAGAATTCCTTCCTAATTTATCACGTTATTTAATTTCAATAATCTGTTCGGGTAAGCGTTCGATAAACTCAAAGGACACCGTTGACGGATACTCCCGTAGTATGTGTACCAGGTTAGAGTTTCTTATTTTAGTTCTATTACGAGTTCGGGGACTGTCTGTATTAGCCAAGTGAATATCCCCCTGCTCACAGGTTTCAGTCTTTCTACACAACTTGATGTAAAATAGGCGAACAAAATTAGTAACCTCCATATTGGTACACTTACTTCTGAGGCGTCCGTTGACGTGTCCTTACATCTCGACAGTTTCTTGATTTTACCGAGATCGTGGTTGGCTTATATAGATTCATAAGAGGAAGAAGAATTTTTTTTCAATTGAAATAGCACATGGGTATTCACCGAGGTACGTAGCTGTATGTATCCGTGGCCGAGTGTCGGGCAGTATTTTAGCCGACGATAAATTAATAAGGAAGTTGCCACACGTGGTGAAGCCAAAAACTGCAACCTTTTTCACATCGGATGACGCCGTGAACCTTCTCTAAACAACATTCTCTGGATTAAATTAGCTATGTCGCTGATATTTAGTTCATAGGCTTGTTCAAAAAAAAGTATCAATCAATTTTTTAGCATGCGACTAGTAGATGTATGTGCGTCACTTGGGGAATGTGTGTGTCCGCGCACACGACAATCGACGCCGAACCCAGGGGCGGACGCTTTCCATAATTTGGGGGAAAGGGGGCAAACTTGGATTGCCAACTAAAAAAAGCACGGCGCCGTGTATCGTTACCTACCAATAACCTTTCGTTGTCACTCACTAAAGTATTAACGTGTGATTTCATTACTCATATATCCAGTAAGTAGGCCGATTAGCTTGGGCAGGGAACCTGAGCGTCGCTCAACCGATCCCTTGAATTCCGAGAGATTACCCAAGGCTCCTGCTAAAAAAACAGAAACGACAAATTTGTGAAGTCGTATTTGGGTATTGTTTCAATTCTTAGTTTCACATGAAGCGCACCAACACCGTTTCGTAAAATCAGAAATGTCAAACAAGTTAACAAATTATTATGCGGAATTTTTCCCGAGGAATTTTTACCAAGGTATAATTATTTGACTAGTGGGAAAGATTGCCGCTTTATTAAATCATCATTTGAACTCAAAATATCATTCAGAATTCACGCAATGACTTTGCAGGGTTTTATTCACTATTTCATACGAAAATAGAACAGGCACAACAAAAAAGTAAAATCATAAGAAGGTCAACTATCGTCTTATAAATATCCACATTCCGGCGGCAGAAATGATATTATTTTTATGTTAAATTGGGCACTTAATTTACAAGCGGTGACGAGAAAGAACAAAGCCTGTGCAAAAAATATAAATGGATATGTAGGCTACATGTACACGAGATGGTGTAATAGTGAAACAATGGGATAACATTTCATGGTTTGATTTGACACAAAAGATACAATGACGAAATTTGATCCAAGTCGAACAGAAAAATTTAGGGTTCTTTTTTAGGGTATATCCTTTCCTACCTGTGTTCCCCCGGTAGATTGCTCGAAAATTTTCAAATAAACTTAGTTCCCATTAGCTACACAGGTGTTTGTTACCTGATCGCAAGTATGTCTATACAAATTAGTATGTCCTTGTTGACACATCCAGACTGGCGCTCCCGCGCCTGCTTTTAATATATTTCACTCAATATAGAACTAGCTTCAAGCTTTTAAATGATGAAATAAAATTTTTAATTTCCACTTGTCAGTCACGACTCACGAGCTACACTGATCACCAGAGGAAATAAGAACAACAACAACATAATACCGAAAACGATCCATACGTCCACTGATCCAATAACTGATTAATTGCATAGCTTCGTAAAATTCAATTTTTAAACTAACTATTATTTGCGCAGTTTCTTATTTCCCATTCCCAAAATTACGGATGTCCTACATGTCTTCCCATAAATTCAATGTTATCTAGTAGGCTAGATTATCTCTATATGTCTATGAGTTGGCTGTATATGGAATGCATGTTTGATGTAATAATCTACTTTTTTTAATTTCAAATATTTCATGCACTTCATTGCAACGCAACAGGTAACCAAAAATCGAGGACGCAAAAGTTTCATAATTAGTGATTCGCAGTTGCCAGGTTATAATTGATTGTTTTAACTTCCAGCTTTATGTTACTAAATATGTTTTATTAGAAACCTGTGTCCCTACATGAGACGATGATACTTATTTGGGCATAGCAAAAGTTACACTGACAAAAATCGCAATAGTTCATGTTGGATATTTCAAAGCGTGATTATCAGCACTCGCAAAAGGTATTTTTTCACATAAAAGTGTGTTGCATTTTAAATAGAATATATAAATTATATCGTCAGTTTCAAATGCATAGCCTTAACTTCATTTAGTTTTCTTGATTGCCCTAAGTAGAATGACGTTGAAAACAGAGGCAATATTCTTACTTAACAATCGTTGTGGTCCATTTGCATTTTCACCTTAGTTTATAACAATAGTGTCAAGTTCAAATTCGTAGTCTTCATTTATTTATTTTTATTGGTGACTGTATAAAATAATTAAATTAATATTGCTTCTTAAAAATTATTTTGGTCTATTTGTTTGTTTCGCTTTAATTTGTTCACACAATATTATAACACTTCGATTCGTGTTGATTTTCTCTCGATGATTGGCGTTAAAGATAACTTGTCACAAGACATTCCACATGTGCACTCGATGGTGTAATAGTGAAACAATGGAATCTCATTCCAAGGTTCAATTCAACACAAAAGGTACGATGACGAAATTTGATCCAAGTCTAACGGAATATGTTATTTTTAGGGGGTATCCCTACGTCTTCTCCCTCGGTCGATTGCTCAAAAATCTTCCTTTATTTACGCAGGTGTTTATTACCTGATTGTAGGTGTTACCGTACCTATACAAATTGGGGATATGCCCTTTTTGACACATCCAGCCTGGAGCTCCCGCGAGTGCTCTCAATATGTTTCACCCGATTTGAAACTAGCTTCAAGTTTTAAACGACGAAATAAAATTTGAATTTCTCCTTGTCAGTCATGATCGTCAGAGGAAATAAGAACAACATCAACATAATTACAAAACGATCCATAGGTCCACTACGTTGTCCAATAACTGAATAATTGTATAGCCTCGTAATAAAAATAATAAATATTTGCACAGTTTCTCATTTCCCAGTCCCAAAATTACGGATGCCCTACATGTCTTCTCGTAACTTCAATGTTATTTAGTAGGTATGACAATCTGCCTCCAACTTTTCAGTTCCTCATTTTATATATATATAATTGCTCGCACCTGTTAAAATAGCACATGCGTATTTACTGGGGGGTCGTTTACTCTGATTGTTTGTGCAAGCACATTAATTTATTGACGTGTTTTCTTTGAAGTCTATAGATCAGGGTTGTCCAACCTTTTTTGCCAAGGGCCACATTTAGTTTACGAATGATTGCGCGGGTCACTTGACATAGCAGTTATGTTCTAGTTTTCACTATACTGACCACAAGTTGATGAAAAAACAAACAAAACCCTTACACCAAAATTTCAAGAACAATGAAAATACGAAAATACAGTAAAGTCGAAATTTTTACCACACATAGATATTTCAATGTCAAGTACGATACCGCTTTTATTCAATAATGTTGTCAATATTCGGGGTGGTGGACTATGTAGCATTGCAAAGCGAATTTTTCATATGTGGTCCATTTATATTTCCACCTTAGTTTATAACAATAGTGCCAAGTTCAAATGCGTATTCTTCATTTAAATATTTTCATTGGTACCCGTGTAAAAAACGTTGAGAATGAAATTAATTTTGCTCCTTAACAATTCTTTTGGTCTATTTGTTTGTTTCGCTGCTTTAATTTGTTCACACAACAATATACCACTTCGATTCGTGTTGATTTTCTCTCGATGATTGGCGTTAAAGATAACTTGTCACAGGACATTCCACATGTGCACTCGATGGTGTAATAGTAAAACAATGGAATCTCATTCCAAGGTTCAATTCAACACAAAACATACGATGACGACATTTGATCCAAGTCTAACGGAATATGTTATTTTTAGGGGGTATGCCTACGTCTTCTCCCTCGGTCGATTGCTCAAAAATCTTCCTTTATTTACGCAGATGTTTTATTACCTGATTGTAGGTGTTACCTATACAAATTGGGGATATGCCCTTGTTGACACATCTAGCCTGGAGCTCCCGCGAGTGCTCTCAATATGTTTCACCCGATTTAAAACTAGCTTCAAGTTTTGAACGACGAAATAAAATTTTCAATTTCTCCTTGTCAGTCATGATCGCCAGAGGAAATAAGAACAACATCAACATAATTACAACTACGATCCATAGGTCCACTACGTTGTCCAATAACTGAATAATTGTATAGCCTCGTAATGAAAATACCAATTATTTGCACAGTTTCTTATTTCCCAGTCCCAAAATTACGGATGCCCTACATGTCTTCTCGTAAATCCAATGTTATCTAGTAGGTATGACAATCTGCCACCAACTTTTCAGTTCCACATTTCATATATAATTGCTCGAACCTGTTAAAATAGCACATGCGTATTTACTAGGGGATGATTTACTCTGATTGTTTGAGTTTCAATTTAATTGCAGATA